AATAAAAAAATATAAAATATTAATAATTTTTTAAAATAAAATAAATAGATAAATAATTAGTTTTTATGTAATTTTTTTTTAAAAAAAAAATAGAATCCAAAAAGTAATAGTACCATTTTTTACAAATTAAATAATTATATATTTTTATGACAATCTGAAAAATCTAACAATAGTAATTTTTTTTAACGGGAAGAGTATTTAACAATTTTAAAAATATGCCAAATATGTGTTCTACAGTGTTCATTTTTTCTCTGTAAATAACATTTAATTTGGATATTTTATATGATATTAAAGGGCTTGTTCCCTTATCTTGTGTTGTTTTGTAAGTTTTCTATAAATTTATTTTATTTTATTTTTTTTAAAAAATAAAATTATATCAAATAATTATTTTTTGTTTTTTATATTATACTAAAAAAAAATTACATTCAAAATATCGGATTAATATAAATTTATGTCATATCAAATAATTATTCTAATTCTAATTTTAATATTTAAAAATCTAAACCCAAAAATCAAACCCACGAAAAAACACACATGTTTCTTCAAGAATTTATTTTTAGTGTTATGTATGAAAAATCGTATAAGTAATATAAAAAATAATTTTTTATATTGAATTGTTATATTTTTGTAAGTGAATAAAATATATTATGTATATATATTATATTAACATAAATATATATTGTATTTTTTTATAATATTTATACGTTTCGTGCCTATAAATATTACTCCCTCTATCTCCTAAAACAAGTGCACATTACCGTAGACAAGAAATTTAGAAAAATATATAATTAGTAACTAATTAAAAATATATTAGTAAATATGATTATAAATTAATATTAAAAATAATTAAATAATTTAGTTAAAATTAAGATAATTATAAATTATAAAATTTAAAAATAATTAAAATAATTAATTATTTTTAAAAAATAAAATGACAATTATGTAGGATGAACGTAAATATAAAATATTTTATATCATTTATTTTTATTTTTTAAATATATATATGGAGTACCTCGTATTTAAAAATTTATAATTTATATGTATTTTTTTAATTTTAATTAAATTATTTAATTCTTTTAATTTTGATTTATAATTATTTGTATTATATAATATTTATTTTTATTTAATATATATTTTAAATTATTTACTAATATTTTTTTAAAAAAAATATTTTCGTATCTATAATAACATAAATATTTTTTATTAGAAGGAAAGGAGTACAAAATTATGAATTAAAGTTTTTTAAAAAAAAACTAAAAATATAATTCTGCATAAATGGAGAATATTTTGAAATATTAAATCACAAGAATCCCTGTCAAATAATTTGACAACTCATTCACAACGTTAAATTATTAATTACGCATTCCGAAGTAACAAATATTTGTTTGTAATGGAATTTGTCTTTTATTAATCACAGCGTGTAAGATATATTCTCATGCATTTATTTATTTGTCAATAATTGCCTGTGCCTATCTGATAAAATAAAGTAATAATAATTGCCTGTGCACATTATAAATAATAATTTTGGATATATTATTTAACTTGAATTCAACATGCTTATGGATATGTCTCGACAAATTAATATATATATATATACAAAAATTATTCACTATAATATAATGAAATTTTGAATTTTGAGTTGAAATTTAAATAATAAAAATTTTGAATTTGAATAGTCGTATGACGTGGGTAGAGCACCAAAAAACGATGGGTAAGGTTTTCAAGAATGGGTCTATCAAATTATGTTAAAGAGTGGTGCAGAGTTTAATGGGCTTTGCTAATAATGTTGGGCACTGAGGTTGGATGTGATCAGGTCGGGCACTGGGGTCGGATGTGATCAGGTCGGGCACAGAGATCAGACGTGACAAGGTCGGACACTGAGGTCAGATGTGATAAGGTCGGGCACTGAGGTCGGATGTGATCAGGTCGGGCAAAGAAATCGGACGTGATAAGGGGGCACTGAGGTCGGACGTGATCAGGTCGGGCTCTGAGGTCGGGCGTGATAAGGTTGGGCACTGAGATGGGACGTAATCAGGTCGGGCTCGGAGGTCAGGCGTGATAAGGTCGGACACTGAGATCGGACGTAATCAGGTCGGGCTCGGAGGTCAGGCGTGATAAGGTCGGGCACTGAGGTCGGATGTGATCAGGTCGGGTACGGAGGTCGAATGTGATAAGGTCGGGCGAAGCGAAGTCAGACAAGTCAGGAGGTCAAACAAGTGGAAGACGGACAAGAGGAGACGGAGCAACAGGTATGCAGGTCGGGCGAAAAAGGAGTTTTCTGGACAGTTGAAGGAAGTTTCAACAGATGAACGGATTTGAAGGCACAACTTGGTGGTGGCGGTTGACATGGGTTTTAAATAGGTCTGTTCGTGACCTAAGAAACTATCTTCAATCGACATCAGATTCAAAAGAATTGTATTTGAGGATCACCACTTTATTTTTCAGTATGTATTTTTATTTTTCTATTTTTATTTATGTATCCTACAGTAGTGTTTAAGAGATTTCTAATCTCATACACTAATTATATCAAATTCGAAGATAATTTCCTATTTTCGAATTTTACTTTTTATTGTTGAAAAATTGCATCAACAATGTGATATAAATAGATGTTCATGTAATATTTTGAATGTAAAATTAATTTTTAGTATAATATAAAAAATAAAAAATAAGTGTTTGATTTGATGTTTTTGAAAAAAAAAAGGATGAACAGTGAAAATCTAATCCAATCCCCAAATAAAACACACCTTTGCTGAATATTGGATAGAATAAATTTTAATTTCCTTTTTTTACAATTCTTGGTAATTTGCAATAAAAATACATAAAATAATAACATTTTTATGTTTTACTTTTGAGTTTTGATTTTAAGGGCCGTTTGGATTGGGTTAAAATATAAGTAGAAGCCAAAAAGCAGAAGTAGAAGCCAAAACAGAAGCAGTTCGATTTTGTATTTGGATAAATCATTATAAAAACAGCTTTTCGTAAAAAACTGTTTAGGCGTTATATAGTTAAAAGTGCTTTTAAACTGTTAAAATTACTTAAAAGGATATGCGGTTAATATAATACTAGTATTTTTCTATAACACTTTTATAATTTAATTTAAATTTTATAAATTATATTCAAAGATTTTAAATTAAAGTATAAAAAATGTACTTTTAAATTTTGATTATTTATATTTTAAAATTTTAATTTAAGGATAATATATCAATTAAACATAAAATTACAGTATAATATTATATAATTTGTATTATATCCTCCTATTTATATTCGGTATTTAAATTTTAAATTTTAATCCAAATATAGTACATAAATTAAAATTAATAAATTAATTATATTTTTAAATTTGTATTAAAATATAATAATATATAAGTTATTTATTTTTATATTATATTATATTATTGTATTTATTATTATTATTATTAAGGATAAAACCGTAATTTTAATTGAAAAGTACTTTTGCTTATTTCAAAAGCTACCCCAATGTGCTTCTGAACAAACACTTTTCAGCTTGAAAAGCCTAATACAAACAGGTGCAAACTTTTTTTTTTTAAGAAGTAGAAGCCAAAAGCTCCTGCCAGAAGCCAATCCATATGGGCCTAAATGTATATCTTTTATGAGACGAGCGTTACTTTCTTCATTCTACCTAAAATTTTAATTTTATTTTTTAATTTGATATATTTCACATAATTTATTTATTTTTTTAAAAATGATATAAACTTTAATCATATTTTATTTCATCGTTTATAATTTTTTAATTTTAATTAAATTATTTAATCATCTTAATTTTAATTTACAATTAGTTTTATTATATACTTAGTTATTTTTACTAATATATTTCTTATTATTTACTAATTATATTTTTTAAAAAATTTTCAATATCTACATTAATATAATATTTTTCTTGGGACGAAAATAGTATATTGTTATAAAAATTATATAGTTAGTTAGTATTTTATATCTTTCAAATATTTTGCAATATTTTTTTTTTGTTTGTTTCAAACATTTGGAATATTTATAAAATAGAAATAATTAAATATATTTAATTTTAATTCCACATTTTATTCAATTATATCACTCAAATAAATAAATATTTTTATACTTTTATGTCTCATCGTATCACCTAATTCTCAAATTATCAATATTTAATACCATCCACCTAAATTCTCGTGTCGGAAAAAAATATTACACTATATTTGAAACGGACTGAGTACAAAAATTAAAATAATAATTTCACTCTTAACTTTTATTTGTGATAATTTTATAGAATATTTTGATAATGCTAAAAAATGAATATTGTGAAAAAAGTTGCAAACCTTTAAGACATTCGTAATACTACAAAATAGTAATAGCAAAGAGATCAAGATGGGGAATATAAGTAAATATAGTATTTTTTACATATCATTATATAATATACATTTTAAAAATAAATTTGGTACATTGTTAAATTGATATCTATATAATTATTTAAATTCAAAATTTTTATTATTTATTACCTCAAACTTTATACAACCAAAGATTCTGATTAAAGTTATTCTCTTTGTCCGTCAAAATTAATTACATTGTTAATATACACGTAACTAATATTTATATACATATTTTTAAAAAGATTTTGATATATAATAATTTCTTTAAAAAAATAAAATTAAATATTTATATTATCTTACCAAATAATTATATGAAATACTTTATCCCTCTATTATTTATCTATCAATTTAATGTTTGATATAATAGGATGTTAAGTGTATGGGTATATATATATTTATTTAAATAGAAAATACAGGTACTCATCCTTTGGGCCTGAAGCTAGAGATTGAAAAATAGTATACATGATTGTCATATTCTGTTCGGATATGGGCTCAGAGTTGGCCCATAAAGCCCAAACTAAAATGGGCTTTTTGTCATGCAAAGGAGCCCACATAAGCTTCCGTATATTTTATATTTTTTTATTAAAATTATATCACCTTATTTAAAAGTATATATACTTATGACCACTGCGACGCCCTCTGCTCAATTCTTTTGGCGATGGCGTTCTGGAAGCTGTTTCTCCTAGTTTCCACTATGTTCGCCGTCACTTTCGCAGAATTTACGTTGGCGGACGGTGAGTTATTCTCGGAAGACATTGCCGCCGTTTTGCAACCGGTGGATGATTCAGTATCTCTGTCAAATGCTGCGGAACTCAAGCTCCACCGCCTCAAGTCGAAGATTTCTTTGTTAGGTATGTGAGAGGTACTTGCGCGATCTTGTGATTGTATACAACTTTATTTTGGGGTTAGATTTTTTGTAGTGTGTTCTTAACCTTCAAGAATTTTGAATTTGAAGTGAATAACATATGTTTCTGTATCCTGCGTTACTATTATTTTTATTTTTTATATTATCATTTTTCGATATTTTTGTGAATACGAGCGTAGAGGCCAGCATTGAAGACCAAGCGGTGGAGTTAACAAGGAAGGATGGTAGTATCGAGCACATGGAGAAACTTATTGCAGAGAGATCGAACATCTTGACATCTTTGCAGGCTAAAATACAATCGTTTCAGGTGAAAAAGTCTTTTGTAGGAGGACTGGAGTTTCTCATTTGGTCATTTTTCAATACACTTACTGAGTAGTACTTGTGTATATTTTTCTTTGTCCTTTGAGAAGGGGTCGTCACAGGCAGAGTTAATGGCGAATGTCAAAACACGTGTTAATGAACTTGAGAAACAGGTTACTATGAACTCCAAGAGATCATTTTGGTATTTGCTTTTACTTACAAATTCTGTGTGCTTCTCATGCCTGCTGTGGCTTAGGTTGTGACTATTAAAAGGGTAATCGAAGAACAAAACAAGAAAAAGGATGCGCTGAAAACTCGGGCAAATGTAGCTGAGGAAAAAATCAAGGAACTAAACTTGAAGCTTGAAAATGTAAGCTTCCTCAAGCACCCTGATTAATTCTTCATTTTATTTTTTTTTGTATAGGCTTTGCAGAATATGTGCATATGTATAAATTTTCTTTTCATTAATTTTTACATTGGAAATTGTTGATTTATTTGCCATGAGTGGTGCAGCCACTTCTATGAATGCATTTTGATAACGGGGTAGTTTTGATTTATTTTGTTTTATTGGCAGCTGCAAAGAATTAATGATGAGCAAAAATCAAGAATTCTCAAAATCCAAGATGCTCTTCAAATGGCTGAGGTGTCATCCGCGCGTTGGTCTCGTTTCTGTTATCGGTTGTCATGGCCTGTTTTATCTCATGAAAGATTATATTTTGTTGCCTACAGTTAAAAATGCTTAAAGCCAAACTGGAGGCTTCTTTAGTATCCGAACAACTCAAAGAGGTGATCAGTTATATGCTTATACCCCCAAATTGTCTGGCTTGCATCTCGCTTCCCTAGTCCAGTTTCTTTGAATGAAGTCCATACATAAAACTTTGATAATTTCTTCCGTAAAATGTAAATTAATTTATTATTACTATTGTTTAAGACCAAGCAATCATAACATTCTTAGTGAAGAGGGTCGAATTTGAATGAGAAAAGCCATCAATTGTTCAATTTAATATCATTTTCATAATCGAAGATGAAAGATGAACCTTATGTTACACATTGCTGCACATTGATGCCATTTATGAAATTCCTGATTAGAGCTTGCAGAGACCATTAAGTTAATGAAATTATATATATCTATTCCATCTAATCTAATACCAGGTTAATCAAGCATGGTTACCACCTTGGGTTTCTGCTCATCTATCTCATTGTCAGGTAATGTACGTTTCTTATGAGGTAAATCTCGTATGTTAGAACTGGTTCCATAATGGGTTACCTTGAACATGCAGTCTTTTGTTTCGACTTACTGGAATGAGTTTGGGAGACCAACCCTTGATCAGTTCATTCAAAAGGTGCTGAAGTTTCTTAGTTCTGTATATTTACTGATCATAAGACCTAATAAAGTTACTATTTCAGTACCCAAGCCTTGTTACAACTGCTAATTATCAGGCTTTTTAGGCTTGTGAGCAGAAAAATGAAGTTGGAAAGTGGGTTCAGCATTACTCAGAGAGAATCAAATCAGTAAGACATTACAGTTACTGTGTTTATGTGTGTGTATTATAATCTAGTTTTTCTGATGTGGGCTCGTACAAGTTCTTAAATATTAGCTGTTCCATGGGTCCTAAATCAACAAAATGATTGAATATATTATGAATACAAGTTTTATGTTGCTATAATATCTTCATGTATATGTCTGCTTATTTTCAACCTAATACCAAAGTTGAAATTTGTTTTTTACTTTTAGGTTTTTATGATTGTTAATGGGATTTGTTCTCTGCTTTCTTTTCCATGGTTAAGAAATGGTTCCCAGCTATCAAGGAAAAGTACAGCGCTATTGTGGACGACTTTTATCCGTTGATGCAATCATTTTCTGCTCAAGTGATAGGTTACTATCAACTGTCCTTGAGCACCATTAAACCACACATAGAGAATACGATAGAGATAATGAGTCCATACTTCCAGGTACAGAATGAAGACTTTGGTGTTTGATGATAATGTTACATAGTTATTTTGCTCCAGCAACAAGCTCTCACTGTTTGCACATCTTTGCAGGAAGCAAAGATCGTTGTGATGCCGTATGTAAATCAAATTTCAGATATAACTAAACCTTATCTTGATAAAGTTATATTATTCTCGGAGCCGTATTGGCAGGAAATGGTTCAGTATAACAGAAAGATCACCACGATTGTTGGAGAATATCATTCTATGGTATGAACTTTTTTCTTTTATAATCAGTCTTGAATTAGTTTTTATTTCTTGATAAGCTGGTTGAACTAATCTAGCTAGAAACTTGGTTCTATATCCCATTAGGTCATACTAACATTGTTAATGAAGCTTTGTAAGTATTTCGTTAGTCTCCACCAATTCTAAATTAAAAAAATTGATTGCCCTGTGGCAAGTAACCTTGACTATCAAGATAATAGATGGCGGTCATTTTGCTTTGCTGTGGTAATTCAATACCTGAAACCTGAAATGGTACTTGCATAATTGAGAATTCAGACAATCAGGTGAAATAAAGAAAAAAAAAAAAAAAAAAAAAAAAAAAGAAAATCTATAGTGATGCAAGTTTTCATGATGCTTCTTTCTGTCATGGATTTTTTCTGCATCATTCTACTGAGAATCTAACAGGAGTTTCAATTTTGAAGATCCAAGCAACTTTACATGAAACACTGAATAGTTACGAGTTCTCAAAGCCCTTTGCAACAGAGGGGCTAGTTTGGCTTATGGTATGTGCGCCTGATACCTCATAATAGTATCTGAAATTAGATGTTGATCTACTCCTGACATTTTGGTTTTGAAAATTCATATTGATATGCTAGCTTAACCCTTTTGTGACAATTGCAGGCTTCTCTTATAATGGCATTGCCCGCCATTCTTCTTTTGCAAATGCTTTTGCTGTAAGCTTCTTTCACCTCCTCCAAACTGTGAAACCTGTTTTACTTTCAGATTATCCTGGTTTTTCATCATACAAATTCCTTCCACTTCCTATTTACTGTACAAGTAGATACTGTTACTCTCTTGAACCTTTGTAATATTATGCTATATGATTTGAGCTATTTGTTTCTCTTAAATTTCCATCCATCCAATAGATGGTGAATTGCACATAAATTTCTCGGCCAGAGAATTAACCCAAGATTCAGTACTTGCTTGGAATTTTATTTCTCTATTGGTTGCAACACATTCCAATTTGTTGGTAGACTACATAATATGTGATGTGATGCATACCCTGCAAGCTTAGACTACATAATATGCGATAAAGATACATATCCCTGTAAGCTTAAGTTTTTAGGTGAGTTCATAGTTACAAACTTGTGCTTTTCGGTAAAATTTCATTCAACACAATTGGATTGAAATTTGCAGGAGACAGCCAAAGAAGCGCCGCCACCGCAAAACAAGTAGAAGCCACGGCCGTAAAGGGCACAAACCCAAAGCCAAGCCCAAAAGGGTGCATAAAGACTAGTCTTCTGGGCAACATGGTTATACTCCCACTTGAAGTACAAGTTACTTACACTGGTACATATTTATCTCCAACAGCTTCTTGATTGGTATCTATCTATCCATCTTTCTATCTATATATATATATGTGTGTATATATATATATATACCTGCCATGGTTTCATTTGATAGTTACCCTTCTTGGCCAGCCAGGACAGGTTAACGGCCGGGATTGTCGGAGGGTAAGTCGATTTGTGAATGGATCATATCCATCCCCACCCCTGTCTACCATTCTCAGTAAAAATCAACTCCAAACACATTTTTGATTGAATGGTTTCGCCTGTTTCTCCTTTTAATTTACTATATAAATTGGCGTATAAATTTTGCACTTATTATTATTATTATTTAATAACTACTACTACTACTACTACAGGTGTTGAACTAGATTAGTCTTTTGATTTTAGGTTTTAGCTAACTAGATTTTAGGCTTTAGGTAACTACACAAGGCAGGTTTTTGTTTGGAATCTAACATTGGTATATAATAATTTTAAATTTGAATATAAACTCGTGCCTAGAATTTTAATCAGTAATTTTGATATAGTGGATGATGCAATATGCTTAGTAATGGCTCCATGAATTTGTGGAAGTGTTTTACTTTAGGAAGCCCATTGTCCAAAATGCATAAAACATTTCAAATCAGTCCTTTTTCACATTAATATTTCCATTTTTAAATGTTTTAGACTGCAGGAAAATAAATAAAAGTATAATAATATAATATATTTACATGTTGCCTCAAATTATTTAGATATCAGTGTCTTGTTTTTAATTTTTTAGGATATTATAGTCAATTAAACACCCTTTTATACAATGTCAACTATGTATAAACTATCAATATATATACTCTTTCCTCCCTTTAATAATTTATTTATTTTTTTTATTTTATTCTGTCTTATAATATATTTATTTTTTAGTAATGGTAATATTTAATAACATTAAAAATATCCTTACTATTTATCATTATTTTAATTATTTCTATTTTATTCATAATATATTTTAATATAATACTTTCTCCATCTTCCACAAAAAAAGTATGCAATTACTTTTAGCGCGGTGTTTAAGAAATAATAGTATTTTAATTATAGTGGGTAGTTAAAAGTAGTGTAATGATATTTTTGCCCTTGCTTTTTGGTGTAAAAGTAATGATGTGATGTAAAGTAGGGGTATTTATGAAAAAAAAAAGTAAGGTATTTAATGAAATGTTTACTTTGTAATTGGACGTCCCAAAATAGAAACATGTATACTTTCTAGATGGACGGAGGGATTTCTAGCTGGACGGAGGGAGTATCAATATTGTTAAAATTCAGTGTAAAATAAGAGATTGAGCTGCTTAAGCCCTTACTTATGTACCTATATACAATTGAAATTTTAAAAAGATTATAAATGAAGTAAAAATATTGTGTAAAAATAGTATATAAATCTAAATAAAAACAATAAATTTAATAAAAATCTACCGTAATATATAAAATACATTTAATAAAGTGTATTGTATTAAAAATCAAAACTACCCATCTACGATATTAATAAATTAGTAAAAAATGTTATAGTAGTAGAAAATCATTAGCAATAAATTAAAGAAAGCACTATAATTACAATAGAATAGCACAACTCCAATTTGACTTGGTACTAACCTCACAATGATTCGATTTGAGTCAAATTGAACACTTTGAACATTATATAGGGTTTATGTACATAATTAAATCGAAATTATTATTGTAAAATAATTATTTTTTTTGTTGGATTGTGTGTTAAGTTAGTTTTTGTCATTTGTTATGTAATATTGAGATTAAACTTAATTTAAATTAATATGTAAATTAATTATCAAATCAAAATTATTTTATATACTTTCTCCGTCCACAATGCTTATATTTACTTCTGGGTGTTTAAGAAATAATAGTATTTTAATTATAGTAAGTAGTTAAAAGTAGTGTAATGATATTTTTGCTTTTATTTTTTATTTTTATTTTATTTTTGTAAAAGTAATGATGTGATGTAAAGTAAGGATATTTTTGAAAAAAAAATAGGGTATTTAATGAAATGTTAACTTTGTAATTGGACGTCCCAAAATAAAGATATGTAAACATTGTAAGTGGACGAAGAAAATATATAATTAATTTAATATTAGCTAGAAGTGCAAATCTACAAAAATACAAAAAATTTATTACTCTCTTCATCATGCATGTGCTCATTTGATCAAACACAAATTTTAATAAAAGTGTGTAGTAATTATTAATTTTTTTAGTACAAAAATAGAACAACGAAAGGAATATTTTTTACACTAAAAAAAATAATCGAAGGGGCATATTAATAAAATTATACTATTATATTGTTATTTTTATGCTAAAAAGATAATCATATTTTGGAGCGGAGTCAGTGTCTTCCGTAGGCCTCTAATAGTTTTATCTGCCTACGACTACAGTTTTTGAGTCCCAAACAAATTTCATATTTATATATTTGTCTTGTTGTTATCTAAGTATGAACGGATAATTTGCATGCGATTTATCGATATTTATATATCTAAATTATATTATTAATATATCATTTAAACTAATCTAATAATCGATTGCATTTTTTTTTAATTTAATTCATAAAAATTAAATTTGATCAATAAAATAAATAATAATAATAATAAGCAAACAGTTGCCCTAACAGGAACAGGCAGCCTAGCCGTACATCTCCCCACGCGCTGAAACAGCGCGTGCATTTATTCACATTTCAAAGTTAATATGAACGATTTTAAATTGGAATAATCGCCGGCTGCTGCTGTTGATATGCTGTTATGGTTGGATGGATGTCGAATAACGTCCTGCTCTGAACTCTCGCTCAATTTCACGTACAAATACAACAATTTCTCCCCAAATGCGGGCACCCTATCAATTCCGAATCTCTCGTTTTTCCACCATATTCGATTGACGCTGCAGTCCTGATTTGTTTGGGGGAGTGCTGCTGTGCGTAATGTACCCAAGAACACGTTTTGTGATTGTTCGGGATCTCATCTCAGAGAGAGAGAAACAGAGAGAGAGACAAAGAGAGAGACATACTTTAATTGTGTATACCGACGTATAGGGATTCTTCTATTTGGACGTTTCGATTCCTCTCCATCTCCCTTTGTCGCCACTCCACGTTCGATCAATAGGTAATGCTCGTTCCTACCATGCTGCTATGCAGGCGCCATTTGTTGGTGTTACGATTATTTTTTTTAATTTTTTTTTTTGGGGGTTGCTTGTGTCTGAATTTTGAATTCTGATTTTTTTTTTTTTTTTTTTTTTTTTTTTTTTTTCCGGCGGTTCGTAGAATTTGTTTCTGAGCGAGGTTTTGTTTGACGTTTGTTTATGACTGTTCGTTTCATGTATTGGTTTTGCCTCTTTTGCGTGGCTTTGAACTCTTAGGGCTATCTTGGTTTGGCCGGCTCTAGGGATTTGATTCTAACATTGTGTTCTGCTTTAAATTACAAATTTGATTCCGGCTGTTTGGATTATTTGATCCTAATTGGAATAAGTAATTAAGGCGGGGGGATTCGCGAGTTTCTTACAATGTAATATCTACTTTTCTTCTTCTGAGTGAATTTCAATATCCTATGTAGTGATTTGGTGTATGCAAAATTTGAATATTAATGTGAGTTGAAAGTGTGAGAAATATGCAGACATCATATTTAGGTTCATTGTTGCAGTTTATGTTAGTCTCTGATCTTGTCCATGTTAAGCCATAAGCAGTTTTGATGTTATGGTTTTTACCAACTCGATTATCATGTTAGTTTGAGGTGTTCTCAAAGTTATCTTATTGTTTTATATAGTTACAAATCCGTCTGTTCTGTATGTTCAGATTCTCAAGAAATTGCTGTTTGAGGTCTGCTTTAGGCATTGCGAGTCGTGTATTTGGATCTGATGCAAGCAATGAGATGTAATCGGCTGGTTCTTTGAAATGACCTGTGATGCATCTTCTCTAGATGAAGTCATCTAAGACCTGGCGTCTAGGCGTGAAAGACTCGCCAATTTTGGCAATGCCTCGACAGCGTGGGCAATTAAGGAAACCTAACTGGATTATCATATTGATTTCTTTAGTCAGCTTGTTCCTAGTTTGTGCATATATTTATCCTCCACAAAGCTCAGTGTCATGTTATATATTCTCATCATCTCATGGCTGCCAGTCAACCGAAAATTGGCGTCCTCCTATACCGACCAGGGAACTCACTGACGATGAATTTTCTTCCCGTGTTGTTATAAGAGAGTTGTTGGGAATGCCGCCTACTGCTTCAATGACTCCCAAGATTGCCTTCCTGTTTCTGACACCTGGTCCATTGCCATTTGAGAAGTTATGGGATCGATTTTTCCAGGTGCTTCGGTATTCTTTGATTTGGAAATGGCATGTTGAAATTCAGTAAATTTTGTACAATGCTTTGGCCGTCTTTACATGATTAACTTTTGCATAAAGAGGATGTTTTCTTGTGGACTTAATGAGAGGGAATTTTCTAGGATAAGTTGTTCGATATTTTAGGCTTGCTCGCTTGCATTTGGAGTTTTTTATAACATTTGGATTTTATACTGGCCTTTTGCAATTAATCATAAATGTTTGCAACTTTTTGTGGAACTGCTGCAGAAGATTCTGTCATAATTTGCTTTCTGTCCAAGGTTAAGATTATCCCAGGTTAAGATTATCCCAGGTTAAGATTATCCGATATATTGACTGCCGGGGACAACCTACAGCAATTGCCTATAAAGTGAACTGCAAATCTTTTCCTCTGATCCTATTCCTCTTTAATTTTTTTTTGTTTTCTTATGCACTTCTTCCTAGTCCATGAAATCCTGATATCATATCGACTAGCTAATACAGCTGTTTCTTTATTCACTTGTGATTGTGAGAGCACTGTTTAGCCTTACTTGTAACCTGTCCAGTCGAAATTGGAATATACAATTGAATTTTGTATGAGAAGCTACAACCGAAGGAGTTAATTATAGAGCCACTCTTACAATGTTGAAATTGCCAAATCAATAAAAGCTGAGCCGACTTCTGAACATGTAGCAAGGATGCTCAAGTGTAGGGCCAGACCAAGTTACCTAACCGATTGAAACCATGGTGTATTATAAGATTGGTTTACATGTCTTTACAAAAAAGTATGAAAAGCAGTCGCCTTTCTATTTAATATATGTGTTTGGTTCTATTTTTGTATTTTGTTGTACATGATAATTCACTGATTCGAAGTTTGAACCAAATCTTTTTCTCAGAGTTTCCATGTATATGACAGGGGCATGAAGGTAGATTTTCAGTGTACGTGCACGCATCCAAAAACAAACCTGTCCATTTTAGCCGTTATTTTATCAACCGGGAGATTCGTAGCGATACGGTTTGTTTCTAACTTAAAGTGATCTATTTGTACTATATATCTATCTTGTAGTTGGCTGTTTTGTCTAAGTGAAGGAAATCCTGCTGCCAGAATAGACCGATGTTTGTCACTAGCTTGAGATATATATATTTCTGATCCAATATCAGGTAGAATGGGGGAAGATCTCAATGGTGGATGCTGAAAGAAGGCTATTGGCAAATGCATTAAATGAACCCGACAACCAACACTTTGTACTATTATCCGACAGGTTGCTACACAGTACTCCTTCTCTCACTCACTCTTATACGTTTAAATTCATGTCTAAAGATCAAATTATATACTAAGCCACCATTTCCCTTTACTGCAGCTGCATCCCGCTTCGTCATTTTGACTATGTGTACAATTATCTCATGTACACAAACATTAGCTTCATAGATTGGTAAGCCCCCTTCCTTATGCAATTATCTTACTTCATTGCTATTTTCATATTAGTAGTTTCTTTAATGAGCATCCTTTTCTCAATTTCACATGATCTTCTGTGTTCAAGCTTTTAGATATATATTTTATTGAGATTTGAAATGGAACACTGAGATACTAATGTTTGGTAAAAATAGTGATAATCTTTGGTAACAATAATCTTTTCTTTTGTGCAGCTTTGAGGACCCTGGTCCACACGGAAGTGGTAGGTATATCGACTACATGCTACCTGAAGTTGAGAAGAGGGACTTTCGAAAAGGTTCACAGGTATGACTTTATGTTTGAAGAGTGGTTTTTATTGTAATGAGTGCTACTATATGGCGACGTCATCTTATGACGTCATCTTAATGTCGAGCTCAAGGAGTTTAGTTTTGAATTTGGTAATCAATTGTTTCCAGCTTCAAAATATAGTTATAGGTCATTTCATAACATGTATGTTCTTTATTCGATGACTGCAGTGGTTTACAATGAAACGGCGACATGCTCTTATAATAATGGCTGACGGTCTCTACTATCGTAAATTCAGGGAACATTGCCGGGTAATCACAGTTTTATTTCTGTATACATTTCCAGTTGAAAATATTGATTCGATGCATTCGTTATTTTGTGTTTTCACTACATGTTTAACAACCTTTTCCTTGGTTAAAGTTCGTAATGTTTGTGGATAAATCAAAACTCTACTCTAACCATATTCATTGTAAATGTGTATAAATGAGTTTCTCTTTGATCCAGCCATAGCTAATGTATGTATTTCTTCCCATTGAACAGCCGGGTATGGAGGGAGGGCGCAACTGCTACTCCGATGAACACTATTTGCCGACATTTTTCCATGTAAGAATCGCTGTGCTTCAATTATCCAGATCAACATATTGCCATCATCCTTTTCGCGTACTTTCTTTCCATTTTTGACTACTGCCTTCCCTTTTCAGATGCTCGATCCCTCTGGAATCGCCAATTGGTCAGTGACAAATGTCGATTGGTCCGAAAGAAAGTGGCATCCGAAATCATACCACACACAAGACGTTACCTTCGAATTGTTGAGAAATCTTACAGTATGGCTACACCTTCACTATTTTCAAATTTTAATTGCTTCCACGACTAAATTCTTATGCCGACAAATGTTTATGCAGTCTATTAGAGACAGTGTGCACGTCACCAGCGACCCCTCGGTTAGTGAACTTTCCTTTTCGCGCCACAATCTTTCGAGCTCCAATCAATAACTCCTCTAACATAAAAAATCTTTCTTCACTGCAGGAAGATGTTCAGATTAGACCTTGCTTGTGGAATGGAAGGCAACGGCCGTGTTATTTGTTCGCTAGGAAATTCATGCCTGAAACTCTAGAAATTCTACTGAAACTCTTCCCCAACTATACATCCATTTCACTGGGTTGAGGGCTTCGGCATTGCCTCATTGATCGATTCCCTATCGCTGCATTCGATCAGGTGCGTAGCTACTTCTGTTGTAGATCACCTCCCGCACGGTATATAGGATTAAAATGCTCCCCGAAGATGGCTTCTTTCTCAGAAGCTGACCTCTAATAAAAATGAAGGTCTCCCCATTGTTTGCTTCCTCTGAGACAATTAACCGATGTTTAAATATTTATAGTATTTATATATGCCCGGCTCGGGACAGCAGCCTAGCGAAAGTCGCTGGCGTGTCCCTGACGAGCGAGCCACAGTTTTTGTTTTCCTCTTTGTTGAATTAACTTATCACAAATGCGGCTGACGTGATATAGATATAGTGAATAGTGTAGTCGCGAAGCTTGTCATGTTGTATGAAAGAACTTTCTACATGGCGTTCGATGTGTTTTTTTTGTAATAATAATGTACTTTGGCTGTTCAGTTATATTGCAGAGTTTCGATTTTAAGTATTGCGCCGTTGTCGCCTCTTCGATCTCTTTTCGAACCTAAGCTGAAACTAACTCATCTTATTTAAACAATGGAATGCAGATACTGATGTGTCTTTGATCAACTAAGCTTAAACTAACTGATCTCTTTGCTCTCATTTTAGATATGTTGTAAGAGAATGCTAAACATGTGATTTTGTCGAAACTACAGATTCTTACCTGTTTTTTCGCTGTCTCTAAAGTTAAAACTTTCATCGTATGCCTTCCAAGAACTGTTTTTTTTTCTTGGAATTTATGAAGATGTCATCAATGTTCATTTTTAGCCTTCTGTTATCTCTTTCTACTCTCCACATTATCATTTCCCCTTCGTGTTCGACCAAAACCGTTGTCCCGAAAACTCGTAAGCTCTCGCTTAGGCTCATACACCGCGATGCAGTATCGCTTACATCACCCCGGCGCAGCGCAAAACCGAAACTTCCAGACATGTCCGAGGACGACGTAAGGGCCCCGATTTTTCCAATGGAGGATGGTAGCATTTTCTTGGTGAATGTTTCGATAGGCAATCCTCCGATCCCGCAGCTCATGGCGATGGACACCGGAAGTCGACTGACGTGGATTCGTTGTCGAACCTGTGATGGATGTAAGAACGTGTTCGATCCTAAAAAATCATCAACTTACTCTGCATTGCCGAGAGATTCGCCGCAGTGCCTTCACTACAAATACGGCCCCCAGAATCAGCAGCTCTGCACGTTCGGTTTCACCTATCAGGACTTGTCGAGCAGCGTAGGCATCGTCGGGCTCGAGAAATTCACGTTTCTTACATCCTCTGGAGGCACGATGGAGCTGCCCGACTTGGTCTTCGGCTGCGCGCAGAGAACGAGTGGGACTGTGGTGTCCGTCGACGGCATTCTCGCGCTCGAAGTACCCGACAAGTACTGCCTGACGGCTCGGACGGGTTACAGGTTCTCGTACTGCATCGGTAATATTAACGATCTGGGTTACATGTACAACCAGCTGATATTAGGCGACGGGGCTGTCCTCGAAGGCGATTCGACGCCCATGCAGATTAAGGACAGCCATTACGTCGTGACGCTCGAGGGAATAAGCGTGGGGGAGACGCGGCTGGCGATCGATCCGCGGGAGTTTCTCAGCAACGTCGTGGTTGATTCCGGGACTACATACACCGAGCTCCGGAGGAGCGCGTATCGATCGCTCGTTGCGGAGGTGGAGGAACTGATGGACGGGGTGGTGGCGCGAACGCTAGTTAGGAATGCCGAGACCCAGCTTTGCTATCGAGGGGATATCGAACGCGACCTCAAGGGGTTCCCGATCGTGACGCTGCATTTAGCGGAGGGGACCGATATCGAATTAGATGTCGATGCGATGTTTCAAAAGACGAAAGATGGATTGGCCTTCTGTATGGCTGTGGTTGAGGCTAATGAGAACATTATAGGTGTTAAGGCACAGCAGTATTACAACGTTGGATTCGATTTGGATGCAATGAGGATCAGTTTCCAGAGGATTGATTGCCAGCTTCTTGAAGAATGAATGATTGGTTATTTTCTTGCAAGTAAATGTTGGATCTTCATTTCGATGTGTGGAATTTGGTTGAAATAAACAAGGGTGAAATTTGAAATGAAATTAGATATTACATATGACCAAAAATACCTAAGACAAACAAACGATCTTTGTCCGAAGGCAGTTGGGACAGTACACTATCATAGATATGTCTTCAACGTCAAAACTTATGGGGTCTTTATGTACAAACACCCATTTCGATCGAGATCTTATACGTTTTATTGCACACGAATCCAAAGAATATTATTACCCTGGAACGGCGTGGATCGAGTTATCGGTAATAGGCCATCGCGACGACGGGGATTCGGACGATGTGGCCTCGGCTGCCTTTGAGCCGGACCTCTCCGAAGCTGTAGGCTCCGGTGACCGATCTGACGGTGAGGGAGACGGCGAAGGTCCGGGAAGCTCCTGGTCTTAGCGTCATTGCTGGTGGATCGGTTTCGATCGCTACTTCTGGCGCCATTCTTGCGGTGATTACGTACGTCTCTTCACCTGCGACATTCGTCACCGTTCGTGTGACTTTCTGAGTCCCGACGAGATGCGATATTGTTATCGACGGGGTGTTGAAATTTGACGGGTGGCCCAGCGTGTAGTTGCAGGGGACATTCGTGTAGTTCTTGATCTCGTGGGAATCGATTCCCGGCGTCGTGCACAGGAACCCCAAGTAGTCGTCGTATCCTAAGATATTCGGCAGCGACGAGTTAGAATACAATACGAAAAATCCTGACAGGATTAAAGATGTACGAGAATTACCTGCGTCGAAAACAAGCCCGGGATCGAGAGCAGCTCGCGGATTGACATGGCCGCTTCCGTAATCGAAAGGCGTTGCGGTGACGAGAGAAAGGGTCTCGGCGCCGGAATACTGCTGGGCTTGTAGCGGTCTCTCGGCACGGTCGATCGTCGTCGATGTAGTCATCAACGCCGACTTGATCGCGGCGGGACTCCAGTGGGGATGCTTCTGCTTTATAAGAGCCGCGATTCCAGCAATGTGAGGTGCAGCCATGCTGGTTCCCGATATCATTGCGAATCCCTCGCCTAAGTAAAGCAATGAATCATTTTAAAACGACGAACAGCATTAAACAGGAAAAAGGATATATATAACATAGCCAGAGCTATCGAATTTTCACCGATGTAATTTGGCTCGTCGGTTCCGTTAGGAGTCCAAGCTGCCCAAATTAGAGATCCGGGAGCTAGAATATCGGGTTTCAAGAGATCCGCGTCTTGGAAACTATAATCCTTAATGTTAGGTCCGCGAGCGGAGAATAACGCAACTTGTGGCGCCGATTTGTGGAGGATGGGCTTCAGGCCATCTCCGATGCTTCCCTGTGCCTTAAAACTCTTAACTCGTCCGGTCCAGTCTCTTGGCGTAGAGACATTGTAGTAGTCTATGAGTTCCTAAAAAGTGTGACCATAATGTCAGGACAGATAATAACACGAAACGACCTTTTTAACAACATCGACAAATAGTAGTAAGGGGGTTACCATTGACAAGCTAACATCCGTAATGAGAATCCCCGGAACAGCAACAGGAACAGGATCAAATTTCGTGCCGGGAGAAGCGTTTTCAACGGCGAGGACGAAGCCAACTGCACCGAGACTTTTAGCAGTCTCTGATACTTTCTTGATCGAAGCAGTTCCCACGACGAAATTGAAAGAATATCCACAGAGAAGAATGTTTCCCTTCACCAGATTTTTATTCAGCAGTTCAGGCCGCTGGCAATCAGAAGGACTGTACTTGGCAACCGAGGAATCGAGCGTCACATCATTAGCAGCAACCATGGTGAACTTCTGGTTTGCATGTGTAGCAGCTGCAGAAATGGTCGAAAAAAGATACCATCAGTTGGAGAAAATGATACAATCATATTAATGACGTAAACGCCACCTAGTGTAGATTACACATATAGTGTTTTAATCATCAATGAAGGAACACACAGCAGAGATTTCAAGTAGGTTTGTTTCTCACGGGACAGAATGATTCCAGCCAAGATTTTCCCGTTGCCGAGGGTGAGATGGTTTTTGTATCTCCGATCATCAATGGCAGCAGCTACAGAGGTAATCCAGGGACTGTAAGAAACTAAGGTTTTGGGAAAAGGGCCTCCATTTCCAGCTGCTTGGACAACAAAAATTCCAGCTTTGGCGGCTGCAAGAAGGGTGGAGTCGAAAGGGTTTAAGAATGTTGTCTTTGTGGTTGCTGGAGGACTGTTAGGTCCAACGGACAAGTTCAAAATATCCACACCATCAAGAACAGCCTGCGAAAATACAACTTATCTTATTGCCAAAGCTTCATTACTACAGAAAAACAGGCAACGATTAATATACTAAAAGGTCAGTGAATGCATAATATATAATTAAAATTTTAGCGAAGAACAAAGAATCACCTGATCGATTGCAGCAACTACATCGGCAACAAATCCACCAAATATTCTGTACAGGGCCTTGTACACAGCAATTCTATAAAACAATTAATGAGTCAAATTATGGATGATTACATTTCAAGTAAGAAATAGTTTGTATTTTGCAAAGGAAATTCAATTCGACAAAATTCTTACCTAGCGCGAGGTGCCATCCCACTTGCTTTCCCAAACTCATATCCATGCATCCTCACCGGAATGCCATTGTTTCCGGCTGCAATAGCTGCTGTATGACTGGCAAAAGATACAGTCGAAGTTAAGTTTGACAAATAGTAGGCTTTGATTGCGGACCAATTAAATTAAACTATTCAGTGAAGTATAATGAATCGAACCTTCCATGTCCATCACCATCGAGTGGGGAATCAAAATCAATGTCTGAATTAAATGAACCGGCAGCTTTAGCAGCTTCAGCAAAATGTTGTGCTCCGATAATCTTCCCATTACAAAAGTCCCTCTTAGTCCCCGGATCAACCTCACATTTACCTCTGTACTTGGGAACAGGTCCATAAGGTTCAGTATTGTGTGTAGCAAAGCTTGGATGGTGAGGATAAATTCCCGAGTCCACAAAACCGATGACAATATCCTCACCAGCTCGATCAAATCCACCTCCAGTAGGCCATACTCCAGTCGGAAGCCCCAAGAATTGTGGGGTGTGGGTCGTGAGCCTCTTCACTTTCCAATCCCTTTCTACAGACTTCACCCCGGGCGTTCGTCTAAGTATTTCTGCCTACTAATAGGGTTGATCATGTGAGAAAAGAATAAAAGAGTTGCCAGAAACTGAAGATAACAAAAAAAGTTATCACCTGCTCGGGTGTAATGTGGACTGCAAATCCATTTATAAGATGACGGTAACTATAGAGCTTCTTGTACGTGCCTCGATCAAACAGCATCCCCAGAAGCATATCATGTCTCTTTTCTAGATGACGGGCATAGGAGATGACCAATTCACTGAAAGCAAATCAAGAACATAAATAAAATAAAAACAATATATATACAAGCGCTTGTGTATGTAATGCATATAAGATAGATACACATGACATCAGAATCCAGAACAGTAGCTCCAATGACACCATAACCAGATAAAGAAACCACTAAGCAAATGTAAAATTGTGATTATTTAGGAAAACAGTTTGGTATATCCACAGTACCTGGAAGAATCAATCTTCTCATCAGAATCAGGTTCCACAGCAGTGGCTTCAAACCCTTCAACACCACCCCTGTAACTTATCACAGGCTCTCCCTGAAGTGTCACAATGTAAATCTCTGCTCTCCCAAAGAGCAAAGAACCAAATAAAATAAGAACCATCAACAAATGATTGAACTGCGTGCTCCCCATTGCAGCCAATCCTCTTCTAACCACTTCAAACTTTGCAAGACCAGATCTGTTCTCTGTTCACATATGGTAAAAAAACTAGATTTTGAATCCAGAATTTACAGCCAGTATTAACCTTAAAGCACAAACTGCAAGCTATCATGAATGTACCAAGTAAAACCTTAAATTGATATAAACACAAACATTTATCAAAATTTAGAACTTCCAGTGACTGATAGAAATTTGACAAAAAGAGTTTTCTTCTAAGGAAGTTCCCCACAAATGATGCTCCTGTATGAAGATGAAAATCAATGAAGATGTTTCCAGTCAGAGAAATACCTTCAGCCTATATCCCTTTTCAACTCCAACACACAAATTGCACTGTGTGAATAAATTACCTGCAACATGGTTTTAGAGTAAGAAATCCCCACACACAGCAGATCAAGAAAAACATTTCCACCAAATTACACAAAACATAATAATAATGATAATAAATAGATAAGATACTTTCCCAAGTAAGATCTCTACTCACATTGATCCAAATATGCAACAAACCGCAGTACAATGCCGGATAGACTTAATCAAAAACCACTCTAACAGTAAATTAATAATTTCTGCAGCTTCCACACAGGAATTAAGCAGAGATCAAGAGCAAAGGCCCGCTGCTCGTCGGCTACCAACATACATTCTTTTAGTATTATAGCAGAAGCACTTTTTGCAGTGGGAATATAGAGGTTTGCTTTCGGTTGGTTGGTGTGAAACTGTGGAATGCGGAACAGTGAAAGGGCGGAGTGTAGAGTGGAGGTAGTTAGGGTTGCCTTCGCAAGGTGGAAATAAATTAATGGGGGCAAAAGAGCAGACAAGGGACCGAAGATGGAGGACGACTGTGGCTTGATCAGTGTCGTCTTTGATGATTCTCTCTTTAACCAAAACTGTGCTCCATTTTGGACCTCTCCTTTTTCCACCATTAATCACTCACCCTCTCCTTTTCATTATTTCTGCTTTGCAGTGTCTTAACGACACAGCTGTCTTCACTACACCTTAATTCGGGCTCGGGCTTAAATTGGGACCCGAAATCGAATTCGGGTTCGGGTTGGTATGATAAATTATCAAAATTGCAATTTGATAATCAACCCTAATAATTGGGGGCTATTTTTGCAATGATTCTCGAACAATAGCAGCAATAATAAAGATGTAATTTTTAGTTGTCACTAAATCATCGTTCTCGAAATTAGGGTTTATTATGGGATTTTGGGCTTCAACTGAATAATTAAAATACTGTGTAACATCGAAAATATGTAAAAGGGGCATCGTTTGACTCTGTGCCTATATGCTATACTAAATATAAAAAGGTTAAATTATGAACAGATTATTTGTTCCTAGGAAATAATAAATATACTAACATATTATATAAATAAATAAATAGATCTAAAATGAAAAATAAAAGGGTCACTATATATGGCATGTGAGGGATGTTCCCACCAGAGTTGTCGCCATGCTTGTACATGTCATGTGCCAATTTCTCATCTCAAGATTCCATTTTTAATTTAATTTAATTATTTCTGTTCTCTTGTAAATCCTTTCCAATAAAATTTATAAAATGAGCATACTATATAAGATGCTCGTGCAAATCTTGGCAGCTGTAAAATACAATAATTAATAATTTGATTTGTTTAAGTTGGAATTACTGCTGGGGGAAAAAGGTTGGTTCTTTACTAAAATTGACAAAAGTTTAGGGCATATTTCAATGGTGGTGTGCTGGGAAATAAAGCCCCATGTGCTGATGAAAACGATTGGGTTGGGAAATCACAAAATTGATTAAAATAATTGTTGAAAATGACCCTCTGTTGTTTTCAATTAGTCAGTCCACAGTCAATTTTGCCTTAATTTCGATGGAAACCCTAAATTAAGCAAACCCTCTAATTAATACCATCTGCAGTTTTTGTCATGTGTGGGTTCACCTGATCCATACACTGTATTAATTCATCTGCCATGTCTGAGATCCGACAGGTGATTTCTTGTGACCCCTACAGTTTCTTTGGGCTTATCTGCACTCCACTAGACATCATGAAAAGTTTCCAAACCTCACATGGTAGCCAACAGTTCTTGGTTAGGTGAAAACTGGGTGGGTGAATTGGAATTAATAATTTTTAGGGTTTTCTGATAATTGATTTGGGTATTTTTTTGCATAATCAAATCAAATCAAATCACCAAATTAGATCGATCAATCAGATGATGAATTTGTGGATGGATCAGGCCCACAAAGATCGTATCGAATCCATCTTCCTCCGAATGTGTGCCACTGTAATAAGGAATTAGGGGTTTTCGATCATCGCCGGTTTAATTCGATCAGGACATAATATGAAACTGTTTCTGCAATTAATCCTTACCTGGAATGTGTGCCCCATAAGCTCAGCAAGAACACGCGTTTGTAATAATGTCGCCATTGGATTCTGCAGTCGCTGCTATTCCTGATTGGACTCATCTTCTTCGATTGATGTGGGTCGTCTCTTTTGTTTTTACATTCTTTTTCAGTTTTTTAATCGATTGACCCTTAATTGGGCTTATGCTATCTACCTTTTTGCCAGAAAGTGGAAAAGTGATGGCGTGGGGTTTTGTAGCCATTAAGGAATTCATGTCTGTACAAACTCATAAGACTGTGGATGAAACTTACTGGGTTGGAGAAGATGATCGTGTCAGGATTATGGTGTTGTCCTAATTGGGCCTGGGTTTTTGAAATTGCAGTTGATGTATTGATATGAGATTCTTTTAGATCCATTGTCTGGTAAGGCCCAGAATCCTCAAGAATATCCGATATACAGTATTTCTTTTTAGGGTATGTTTGTTCGGGAATTTTTTCCAAAATCTACTGCTCCCTCTGTCAGTCAGTAAAGTTACATTTATTTTTTTCATTATTGTACTTAACATTAAAAATATAAAGATATTTTTATTTTTTTTTTTGTACAAATATCCTTCTATTGATATTCTAAGACAATAATTGAAGTATTTTAGCAATTTTTTCTTAATTTGTACTACATTTTGATATAATAATTAGTATTCAAAGATCGACACGCAGAAACTTTTAGAGTCGGACGTAGGTAGTATTTATCAAAAAAATTTCTCTAAAAGACATCATATCAAAACGCTTATTTTTTATTCCCTTTGTTATCCAAAATTATTCTCACTTTTTTTTTGTCATCTAAATTTATTTGTGTTTCCTTTTTTAGGAAAAAATACCATATTTTTTATTTTTTCTTTATCTAAAAATATTAAATTTTCTATTTTTATTTATTTTTCTTAAAATTCGTGTCCCGTCAAATGAATACACAATTGGACGACGGATGCAGTATTTTTATATTATACTAAAATTTAATTTTACATTCAAAATATTACATCAACACCTATTTATGTCACATTTACATAACTATTTCAATTCAAAACTTCTGCGTACAAATCTCAACTCAAAATCCAAACTCCAAATAATAGTACGAATTAATTTGGAAACTTAAGAGTTTGTTTGTTTAGTGTTTTGATTTGGGAAATTCTTTTCATAAGATTTGGAAGGTCCTGTCTGAAAGTTGGGATGATTGATGATTGATCACCATTGATACATTGCCACAAACTTGATGTTCAAACTTTCATAATTTCCTTAAGTATTTATGACCATTGAGGACACCAATTTCTTCCTCACGCAATGCAATTTTTAAATATGAAAAATAAAAAATTTGAGGAAAACAATTTCTTCCTCGCCAAAAAGCAATTTAAAAAAAAATGAAAAAAAAAAAAAAAAAAAAAACATTTTCATAGTGTGACGAGAAAAATAAGTGAACCAAATTAGAAAGCGAGAGCCACTAAGGATAAGAATCTGTCCACTTCCTCACAAAAATTGGAATTTTTGTTTGGTTCAAAATCACCGGGCGGTATTTTGTATTGAATATTTATTATGAAAAAAAATTAAAAAAAATAAAAATCAGCTATATATAAAATAATGATGGAATAAGCAATATGTGACAGCTGCTCTTTTCACAAGTAATATTTATTTCGTTTTCAAGAGTATTATAAAACACCCTAATCACCAAACGATACCATATTCCAACCACTGGTGGTCGAATGGAAAAATAATTGATAATTATTTTCATAAGTTGATCATTCAAGAAAAAATAAAATAAAATATATATGTTGAATTTAGTTTTTTTTTTTAAAAAAAAAAAAATAGAAAGTAAAAATGAAAATACAAGAGATAGATTCTTTCCGGTATATTTAAAATTTAAAATTTTAATTACGGAACATTTAAAAAAATAAAAATTTAGAAGTGTATTGGTTTAGATACGTATAATTAGCAATTATTGACTGTGGCAATGTATGTATTTGATAATTGATAGAGATGCCTCAGCCATGTGGGTCCCACATACACCAAACATATAATTAATTAATTTATTTATTTATCTATTTTATTTTTTATTTTTTTTGCTATTTGCATGTAACATAAATAATTCCAAGTTTATGTCACTTATTTTCCATGTCTTCTTTCGATTCTCCAATAATTTTATGTTGAGACTGACGATTAATAAAGTATCATTCGATTGTTTGTGACTCCAATTCAATTTCGTTTTCTTTTACAGAAAATTGACAATTATGCAGACGATGGTGATGTATTAGAACATAGACAAATTAAAATTGAAAGAAAAAATAATAAATAATAAATGAAGAAATAAATACGTAAATCAGATTATATGTAAAAGCGGATCAAAATAGACTGCACATTGGGACAGGGGACAGGCTGGAAATTGGAAATTAATTTTTTTTTATTATTATTATTTTTCTTGTTAAATCTTACTTCTAAGTTGTATCTACACGAGAAGTTTCAAGTGTTTACGTAAAAATGGTTTGGAATAGGGACGTCAACTGGGTGGGTTATGGACGGATTTTGCAAATTTTGGTATCCGTCCCGCTAAAAAATATTAGAATCCAAAATCCGTTCTGTCTCCGGTTCTAGGATTTGTTCAGCCCTGAATTCTCCAGACAAATTCTTTTTTTGTTTCTAAGAAAAAAATAAAACAAAAATTTTTAAAAATAATCTAATACTAAAAAGAATATGTCTCAAAGTACCGAAAAATTATAGTTCTAAAAATAAGAATAATCAAGTATTGACAATAGTCCGCAGTGATGGCCGTCGGCCGTAGTCCCAATTATAAAGAGAATTACAAGAGAAACAAATGTCAAGATAGATTTGATTTAGAATTAATGTTCTATTTTATATTTAAAATTTTTTAAATAAATAAATAATATAAATTATATTGTATAAAAATATAAATAAATTATAATAATCATTAAAATATCCAAATTCGGATTTGAGTACGAGATAGGATAAGTTTATAGTAAAACCCATAACCTGCTCCGAACAAAATTGTTTAGACCCAAATCCACCCTATTAAGACCGGACCCGGGGTGAATCAGGGCTAATCGACTCCATTTGACTACCCTAGTTTGGAATAACTTCGGGAATTAGTGCAACTTACGGAAATTATTTAAATTTGAGTCATGATGCCAAATTACTGATCATGCATGACTGTCTGACCTAACAATTATTAAAATTAAATTAAATTAAATTAAATGGTTAGATTGGGTTGGGTGGCAAATCAAAACCAATAACAAAAAATAAGTAAGTGAATGAAGTATTGGCAAACATGAGGTTGATTGATGAGTGGGCGTGGGGAGGCACCGACTCAACATATTCAATATACCAAGTAACATCAGGGGCCACTTCATTAATATTTCATGTCCACCTCTATATGTATATATAACTTAAAAAATGAAAATAAAAAATTTACTTTTATAGTTATATACTAATTTTTATAATTACTTTTAATTAATTTTATAAAAACAGAAAATTTTAACCGTAGATGAAAATATTTATTTATTAACTAAAGATACACCGATGTAAAAATAAAATGAATTTGAATGAATATTATGTATAAAATATTTAAAATTTAATTAATGTAAAATAAAGATAATATAATGTATTAGCAAATATGGAAATTCACAAATATTAACATATACTCCCTCTGTCCACAAACTAATATCCTGTTTTTCTATTTGAAATCTTCAGAAATGATTGTCATCTTTCTATTTTTATATATAAAATTTATTTTTTTACTTTTACTTTATTTATCCTTTTTATATCTATACACAAAATAAAGAGCTATTTTATTAATTTATAATAAAAAATTAATTATCTAAAAAAATATGTAAAAATCAGTTAGGACGTTAGAAAATTAAAGGAGGGAGTTAATAAGAGTATAATAAGACTCTAAAAACAAACCAACAAAGCACATGTTATATTTGGACACACAATAATAATAATAATAATAATAATAATAATAATAATAATAATAATGTTCATCAAATTATTAGCATCACCGCCACCATTAGCATGCTTGCAATTTGGAAATAAATTAACAAAATAATAATAATAACAACAACAATAATAATAATAATAATAATAAAATTGAGTGTGGAAAGATGAGAGAGTGAAGGACACGCATAATCCACATCATTCTAGATATGCTCTATCAGACGTTCGTTTCGGACCATACGACGTCGTCTCTTGCATTCTTCTAGCTTTTATATTATGCTGTCTTCCTCGTTGGAATTTTTATATCCAATAATAATAATAATAAATAAATAAATAAAACAACTTGTAACAATTTAAATGAATATGAAAAAATAAACTGGAAGCTACCAACTTGACCAACAAGAAATAAGAAAATTCCCAACAATTCAAGAAATGCAAAAGTTTGGAACATTTAATTAAGCAAAAACTAATAACGAAATTTCCTAAACGAAAGTCCCAAGTCAAAATAATTTTTACAAACTTAGATATACATGAAAACAAAGCGTGTAGTAATTTAATCCTACACGTCAAGTCAACTAATCTGGATTATCAATAATTTAATCACATTATTGAAATAAATTAATGGAATAATTGCGATCGAAAAAATGTAATTAATAATAATTTATTTGTTTTAATAATTAGTACATTTGTTTTATCAGAGAAAAAACAAACTTGGTATTTTTGACTCCCAATCCAATTCTCTTTCTGAAACTGTGCAAAAGTGCAAAATTATAAAAAGGAAAATAATTGGTTGGTGGGTTCATTTCATTCGAAGGTCACAATTATTATTATTGGCGAACAGCATATTGATCTTCGTTTTTTTTTTTTTTTTTTTCTTTAATTCTCTGGGATTTCTATCTTGAGATTGAGCTGGGTCACGGCTGCTTCCACCTATAATCTCTCTCTAGATTTCTGCATTTCTTCTGCTTGAAATAGGAAGAAGCATTTCGTAGACCCAATTTCCTTTCTTGTGCAGTCAAGACTGTTCTTGATTCCTGATTCTGTTGGCTGAGTTTCGAGAATTTGATTTTTTCTTCAGAATAGGATCCGAAGAGATCCGTCTTGATTGCGTTTGGGTGGCTGGGTCTTCGAAAATAGTTGCGGTAATCCGCGAACAATCTAGGTTTCTGGGATTTTCTTTTTCCTTTTCTGATTTTTGGTGAGGGGTTTCTGAAAATCCAATCGATTAATTGGGGAAAATTTTGAGCGGAATTGCAGCGAAAAGGTAAAGAAACAGAAAATTAAGAAAGAAGAAAAGAGGAAGGAGACGCAATAACACAACGCTGGTTCTGATAGACACCGCAATGCTCGAAACGACGCCGTGTTCGGAAGTTTCACATCGATTTGGGGGTCTTCGAGGGGTTCAATGGCGGATAGATTTGGGTATTCTACCGTCTTCTCCTTCTGCATCTGTGGATGATCTTCGCCGGGTAACGGCCAATTCTCGGAGAAGGTAAATTCATTGGCACTTTGAGGATGTTCTTTTTTCTGTTCATCTGTTTTCCTATTTCGATTTTTCTTGGCGAGGTATAATACTTCCTGATAATCCAACCCTAGTTTCGTTCTGCTGCTTACGTTGTCTCTAGATGTTTTATGGTATTGCTTGAGTGTTGAACCTTTGAGATTGTTTTGTTTGCACATATATATACCTTTCAATGGTGTTTATCTTAGGGAAATCGAATTTTGGACTTTATTCAGATATTGATATGTTAAGCTTTTTCAATACTGTCTGTCTATTAATTCTTCTTGATGTTTGATACTGTCGTCCTGGAATTAGCTGGCAATATAATTCAAGTATAGATCTATATCTTGTTTTGGGATGATCGATCTCCTTTTAGATTTCTAAGTGATGAGTTGAAGTAAGTCTCAATGGAGTGGAATTATTCGATCTGATGTTATCTTATGGTTCAGGTATGCTGCATTAAGAAGGCAACTTCTTGTCGATCCACACTTGCCGAAAGATGGAGGCAATTCTCCTGATCGTGTCATCGACAATCCACTGTCTCAGAACCCAGGTAGATCATACGAAATTTCTAGTTTCTTTTGATATACATTGCCTTCCAATTGAGTCCGGGGTATATACTTGTTGCTGCCATAGATATGCCTCTTTCTTTGTCTGAAACAGAATGCCTATCAATAAATTTTGGGTTCATTTATTTCTCAAATCTACAAATTTGTTTTGATCTTTTTCAGAGCCACCAGCTAAGAATCACAGTTTTGTATTTCTAAGCTGTTTGGCATTACTTTTTTTTCTTGCAGATAGTATGTGGGGTCGATTCTTCAAAAATGCCGAACTTGAGAAAATGGTTGATCAAGATTTGACACGATTGTACCCTGAAAGAGGTAGCTATTTCCAGACAAGCGGATGCCAGAGCATGTTGAGACGAATTTTATTACTATGGTGCCTAAGACACCCGGAGTGCGGCTACAGACAGGGTACCAAGCTCTACTGCGCTTCTTTATGCATCCCGTGCACTGCTTTTCTGCATTTTTTGACCGACTTTAGTTTCCCTTTGCTATACGAAACTGAAAATTTTCTTATTTTTACTCAATTTTAATTCAGGGTGTTTAAGCCTGCCAGCCGAAAGATATCATAGGATTTTGAACATTAAGTTCAAATATACTTTAGTTTCTCGAATCTTCATAATTGTGATTTCTTTCTATTTTCATTTGCAGGTATGCATGAACTGTTGGCTCCACTTCTATTTGTCCTTCATGCCGATGTGGAGCGGCTGTTGGAAGTGAGAAAAACTTACGACGACCATTTTACAGACAAGTTTGATGGCTTTTCATTTTACGAAAATGACTTGACATACAAATTTGATTTCAAGAAATTTTCAGAGTCCCTGAATCACGACGATGATTTAGAAAAGAAATCTGCAAAGCCTAGCAGTCTTGATGAACTCGATCCAGACATACAACTTATTGTTCTACTCAGCGATGCATATGGGGCAGAAGGCGAATTGGGTATCGTTCTGTCAGAGAAATTTATGGAACATGATGCCTACTGCATGTTTGATGCTTTAATGGGTGGAAATGGTGGTGCTGTTGCCATGGCAGAATTTTTCTCCCCTTCTCCTGTCGGCAGTTCTCATACCGGTTTTCCCCCAGTAATCGAAGCTTCTGCTGCTCTGTACCACGTGCTTTCGATTGTCGATTCATCTCTTTATAGTCACCTTGTGGAATTAGGAGTTGAGCCCCAATTCTTCGCGCTCCGCTGGCTTAGAGTACTCTTTGGTCGTGAATTTTCTTTGGAGGATCTTCTGCTAATATGGGACGAAGTTTTTGCTCACGAAAACACTAAGAAAGGCGCTGATGTCGACGCCGAGTCCAGCTTTGGAATTCTTGAGCAACCAAGGGGAGCATTCATCTGCGCTTTTGCAGTTTCGATGATACTCAACTTGAGGTCTTCATTACTCGCGACTGAGAATGCTACGATCTGTCTTCAGAGATTATTGAATTTTCCGGATGGGGCAAAGCTTATGAAGCTATTGGAGAAGGCAAAATCTTTGCTTCCGATTGCATTAAATGCAAATGCCTCGAATTCGCGTCCAATTTATCCTGGGCTGTATGATGGTCGAAAGCCTTGCGTTGCTGCTAGGCGTCATAGCATCTCTCTGGATGGATCTTCTCCTAATACTCGTCTCAACATGGTGTCCGATAGTTATTGGGAAGAGAAATGGAGAGTTTTACAAAAAGAAGAAGAAAAAAAGCGAAGTTCTTCTCCTGGAGAACAAGCTTCGATTTTGAGAAGGGGTTGGACTCAGCGAGTTAGGCTGCGACTATCAAGAACAGAATCTGATCCCGCTCCATCGAAGGAAAATGGTAAAACCAAACTCTCGAAGCCATCTGTAAGGAGAAGTTTGTTGAAAGATCTTGAGAAACAGCTCGGGTTAGATGAAGATACAGAAAATACAGCAACAAATGAAGAATTCGGGAATGAGGATTCGCTGGAGGTTAGTAGAGATGACATTAACGTTAAGGACAGTTGTGGCGGATCATCAAGTGGTGCCGGAAGCGAAGAAAATATCTCCAATTTGTCGTATCCAACCAGTCCTTCTAGCGGAATCAGTAGCGACAATGAGAATGAGCCGGAAAGGCGAAGTAGTGTTGCATCAAACTCGTCGGTTGAAGGGAATGATGCCGAGATTGTCCCAGATTGCTCTCCCATTCCTGTCTCCGATCTCACTGACGGTATCCCTCCAGAAGAACTGCATAATGATGATGATTCTGTGAGAAAAACAGAAACAGCTGCGAAGGACCAACGGAAAAATATATTGGGTAAATTTCATTGGCTGTGGAAGTTCACAAGAAATGCTGGCAACGACGTATCAGAAGGAACAAATGCTCCTGAGGATGCAAAAACCTGCGATGGAGGTAGTGATCGGCACAGCGTAGCTTCTGCCATTTCTATTGCTGATACCAGCAGCAGCAACGGAGAGGTTATGGACCAGAATTTGATGTTAAGTTTCAAGAATCTTGGCCAATCTATGCTCGAAAACATTCAGGTATCATATATATATATTCTATTTTAAAGTTAAACTCATCATCATTCTCTGCTGATATGGGCTGTTCATGGAGTTTTAACGTGTTCATCTTGTCTATCTGCAGGTAATCGAGTCGGTGTTCCAGCAGGATCGGGGCCAGATGGGCACGTTAGAGAATCTGTCGAAGAACGGCCTTGTAGGAAAAGGGCAAGTCACAGCCATGGCTGCTCTGAAAGAGCTTAGAAAGATAAGCAGTCTTCTGTCACAGATGTGATGGTAGAATGTCCAAAGTTCATTTGAATTATTTTTTCCCAAGCTGCCGACATAAATAAATGGTGAGTTGCAGAATAAATGAAAAGGGGTCCTCCGGAAGTCCATGTACACAGTAGAGTTTTGATATTCATCGTATTAGCTTCATTGTAAATATGGATATAGGTGTAATAGAGTGAGTTGCAGGCAGACAAGAACAAAGATGTGTTAATATGCTCTTGTATCTATCATCTCCACTTCATTATTGCAATATGATTATCTTGATTCTGAGTAACAGCTATTTGATCAAGAACACAGTGCATTCATATATCATAAACAACCAAACAGCAGCAGAAGATCAGTCGAAATTTGCCAGTCACAGCTGAGGAACGAGCATATTTATATTATTAGCTACCTAAGCTTATTAAAGATATATGATCATGCATAGTAGATACATCTAAAGGGCAAAGAACAGTTTCAGAATATACATCCTCTTTGAGATAGATGGGTAGGAAAGGATGCAAGCAGCAGTGTCTTAGTGAACCACAACAACGAACTTATATGCCGGCTTGCAATATTTTCCCCCATCGCGCTGGCTTCTCATTTGACCTCTTCACATCCAGGATATCTACATCGGTGTTAAGCCTGCATAATGCAACACTATTAGGGGAAAATAATATTTCAGCCGGTAGATGAGCATAATGGCGGAGCCAATTTGCTGCGCACGTAATTATACAAGAAAATGGGTATAAGAATGTTAGTTGCAAATACTTTATTGGTAACATTAATTATGACACACCATAGAGCTGCAGAACAGGGATGAAAGTGCTCATTCTCCAGAATATTGCGAATCAGTAGCCTCATCTGCATTGTCATCATCCTCCACTTTTATCGTTGGAAGAGGATGTATAGGTGAAGTACCTAGGGTGCAAGATAAAATGCATCAGCAATATATAAAACTGGTACAACAAGGCATATATCTCGAATTTCTTTGAACTATTTTGTAGAATGCATAGCAGTTCTAGTTGTGCCATTAAACTTAATAAAGGAGAACACAATCTTCCCGGATAACTTTAGTTTACGCTGTAACCAAGCATATTTGCGACCCACAAACAATCTCTTCACCAAGCCCTTGATTCTCTGCAGTTTAGTTTAGGGCTACATTCATTCCAACGTTCAAAATACATGAAACCAGATCAGCAGATAGTGAAGCTGCATACAGAAGTGTTAATGTGCTCTCCATACAGCTAGTGGCATACCAAGAAGTTATATATATTCCCCAACCCGAACTAATGGCAAGTTAAGCGCAATAGGATCTTTAGGACCGCGTCTAAAGTTGCAGTGCAGTTGCAATTGTTCCGGGATAATCTAAAGGCAGCAACTAGCTACTCCAAATGGCATATGCAAATGAGTCAGAAGCAAGATCATGTTGCACAATTCCACTAGTCATGGCTGCAGAAGTTTGACCTGCAAAAATCTATACCTACAGCCCTCTGTCCTTCATACACAATGCCATTCTCCATAAAATTGAAACCTCCTATGAAATAACCAGCAATTAATCCTAGATAAGCACAATTTTGGGAAAATTTGCTACAAGCTTGAGTAATAATTAAGTGGATTTGTATGTCTTCTTCCAATTTCTAATGAATTCTCCCTAACAATGATGGAGATGCACTTACTGTGCATGAATTAACCTAGATCTGATATTCCGCTTACACATCAATTATATCCAATTTCCAATTTCATAGTTTTTTTGGTCGAATAATCATTCAGTTATATTCTAGAAATCCAACGCATAAAATTTCTTATCAGCAAAGATCCTAAACCTGGATCTAATTAATTGATTACCTTCGATGAAAACAGCGGATGAAGGCCAGCCTTTTGAAGACGAGAGAGACATTTTTTCATCCTCCGATAACTCGTTCGGCAACCGCCGATTTGTCGTCGTTCCCAACGAATTCATCTTTTCAATAGCCTCAACCAGGCTTCCGGCAGGGTGATTTCGCAAAGCGGAAGCGCGCGGCGGGACCCAATAGGAGTAGCCAGGGAGAAAGGGCAGCCAATCAGGCGCGGCGCGGCGCACGATGATGCTGTGTATGGCATCCTCAAGCTTCCTGATGCGCACCGTGATAACCTCAGCCCCAGCCTCCGCCGAATCGGACTGCGCCGAAGACGCGCCGTCGAGGTCGACCTCAATAAACTGTCCGTGCTGAGTTTTGCTGGAGCGGTGGCGGCGATGGCTGGTTACGGAGATCGTTGGGCGGAAACACGCCCTGGATAAGGATTGAGACATAAATCGAGACAACGCCATGAGCCTACGATGATGAATCGACCAAGGATCAGAAACCAAATCTGACGTTTTAGATGAGCCTGAGCGCAAGAACTTCGCTAGCTACAAACTTACGCCTACGCACATATATATATATAAAACGAGAGAGAGAGAGAGAGAGAGAGAGAGAGAGAGATACCGATACTGTATGCGCGTTAGGCTGAATTTGACATACAAACGAAAATGTGCCACTCCTAGTAGTTGTATATAAATGAAAAAGGAAGGTTCTCGCATATGGGCCGGGCTTTACCAGGCCCAAATTGAAAATTTATAAATAGGGCCTCAACTAAAAAATATTAATTAGATAAAACACTGTAATTAATTTAATTGTCCATTTAACGAATCGATCGTGTACATAATCAAAGCATACAGTGGAGAGACACACAAAGACACGTCGGTCTAATTTCTAAATCAAAGCATTGTTCCCGCGCGACGGCGGCGGCGCATTCTGCGGGAAGACGAAGGGATCGCCGAACGGATTCGACGGCGGCGGATACTGACTTGCTGCGGCGGCGTACGCGTTGTGTGGCGACATCATCATCATCTGCTGCTGCTGCTGCTGCTGCTGTTGCTGATACATCATCAGGCGCTCCTGTTGTGACATCATCGCCATCTGCACGCTCAACGGCGGCGCGTAGTTGTTCGACACGGCGAAGGGGTCGCCGAGCGCCGCCTGTTGGTCGAACGGATTCGTCTGCGCCGCCGCCGGATCTTGGCCGTAGCTGGAGCTGTATCCTCTGCTTTGCAGCTGCAGGTTTCTCCGCGCTGCGTCGTCTTCGTAGAGGCTATCCAGCAGCAGCTTGTCGAATCCCCCGCCCTGATCATTTAATTCCCAAATTAGGTCAAGACAAGAAGATAGCTGTAACGTGGTAACGTGAGTTTCATTACATGTTTTAATGAAGAAAGGACAGACCAGATTAGGCTCCGCCGCTCTGTCAGGTTTGCTGGTGCTGCTCGGCGTCGTCACTAGCGCCAATTCCCAGCCGGACGTCTTCCCGATTTCGACCAGGGCGTTGCTCGGCGTCGCCGCCATGCCTGCACGAATTTCAGGACAATCCACGAATCTTGTCCGGGTGAAGTCAATTCGATTGATAATTACTAACCAGGTTGTAAAATGGCGAAGGCTAAAGCATTCCTTTCTTCAATCTCTAATGCTTGTGGATTCACTTCATGGCTCAAACCCTAGACAAGTTGTAAAGTTTAGACAGTGCAGCTGTAAGAAGATAAAGCAGGGAGGAGATGAAATGAAGCTCACGAGAAGATCGGCAGGCTCGTCGGCGGCAGCCGGAGGAGCTTCTTCTTCTTCTTTGGTTTCGAGCTTCTCTTCTTCCTGTGCTTCAACCATTTCTTCTTTTCTTTCAACTTCTTCCTTCTTGCTTTCTTGCAGTTCTGATTCTGGTTCTGGTTCATCATCGTCCCCATTGCAATCGCCATTGTTGTCATAATACTCCTACAAGAGGAGATAAGATGAAGGAACACAACACATTGTAGTAAAGTGAGTTTGGGACTTGGGAGTGATTCCCATTTCTTACCAGTCTATTATGCGACAGGGCGGCTGTCTGAGGTGCTTCCTTGACATACTCCTCCATGGTTGCTAGAAAAGTCGGCGGCGGCTGCAAGAACATCATCGGCAACAGCCTTGTACAGACAGGAACACAATGACTAATTAGTAATAGCAAGAACCTGTCTTAGTATCGGAAACTGGAAGGTCCGAGCGAGCTCCAATGTTCTGCAGAAGCTGTAGAACTCCGCTAGATGTTCTGCCTAGACAAATCACGCCGGAACAGAAAAAGACGACGCAAAAATCAGTCCTAATTATAACAGACAAATTCATCGATCATTCAGACAAAAGGAAGAGAATAACTACACCTGCTTTCCGGCCTTCTTGTATATGTTAAGAGCTCTGACTGCATCGTGTTTAGGCATTTCGAAATACTGCCGAGAAAGACAATCAGATAAATCAATGTTAAGCTTGGAAACAGAGGTTTTTACAAGAACCTGTAAGGACCTTACCATGTCGACAAGATTGATGATCCCATCGTTGATCGAGCAGTATATTTTGAAGCTCTCCTTCAGAACCTACGCAAGTCATAATCGCTGGCTGTCATAAAATGCAAATGCAGGCAACGAATAAGGCGAGCGCAGAAAGTATGGTTTCTTACCAAGGCTAATGCATATTGTACAAGATAGTTGTAGCAGGCTGCCCCTTCAGGCTGCAAAGTTTCTTACAGCTTTAAGAATATCTGCTCCTGCTGGATGTAAGAACTATTCGTAGTTAGTTACCTGGCAACAAAGCAGACGGTATAGAAGCTGCTGCAATGCTGGTAATTGATGCAGCAGTTCTTCTGCGTTCAAGTGGCGCGTCCTGCTATGCACCTAAAAGACCGGTTGATCTGATCGGATCAAGTTCCGTTCTAAATGTTGTAGGAATTACTACTACATGTGAATAACAACCTTAGATTGTCCGGTGGATGATTTAGACAGTTTTTCTGTCTCTACATCGTATTGTAAGGTTCTAAAGCATTCGAGCTTTTCCTCAAGGAAGAGCGCGTAGCTGCGAATCCAGGCGGAGCAGTCCCAAGCTGCGGCAGGACAAGAGCATAGGTAATGATAGTTTGTTTTAGAAGGTAATAATTGGCGAAAATCGATGTAATGTACCTAGAGGGCTCGAGTCGTCCTTGAAGTTGGATATTTGGAATAACTTTCCTCTCCGAGTGTATTGCAGCACTTCTTCTCGGAATGTTAGATCTCCTTCTCTTAGTATTCTGTGAACAACTATCAGAGTCTTCATTGCAACCTTAGATTAAAAAAAACAATAAGAAATCAATCCTAAATTAACAACGTTGTTGGTGTTTCCTGTCTGTGCAAAATCATGTGGTGCTATGATATGAATGCCGAGGCGTACTATCCAGTTTCGCGTTTTGGACAATCGCCGCGACAAGGCGTGGATGCAGTAGGCGACATCGGCTCTCGGAACCTTGACCGATACTCCTTCCATGATCTCTGAGGAAGAAAGAGAGTCATCGGAAAATTTGAGGAAGATCGTGCTATAATGATTAGTAATGCGTAAGGCATAACTCACTCCGAATATGTCGTTCCTTCGGAGGACATTCGTCGTGGTTTGTCGCCTTCACAATCGCAATGTCCAAATCCTTGCAATAGGGAGACACAACCGAAACATCATCGGATCAGACGAGAATGTAAGAACCCATATCTATACACACACAGAGACTCGTACCTTGAACTCACTGTTGAGATTGGCCAGGCCAACGGTCGTGGAATCCTTGAGAGCGCCATAGGCTTTCCGGAAGCTTTCCATTTACAGACAAAAAAACGCTAATGCAGATTCAAATGAAGATGATCAACGAATGAATCATGAACAAGAAAAACAATGTACGAAATGGGACAGCTGTAGCTTGGTAGCTTGACCTCATTGATTAGCAGAGCATAAATGTATTGTGACACAAATACCATTCATTAACTCTAAAACTTATATACGATAGAAGAATGTCAAAACACGATTTTGATTGAGGGGTAGCACGTTTTCTGTGTCAGATATAACTTTTAAGAATTTGCGAAGACTAGGAATTGTCGCCTATACTTAAAAAATATATTTCCCTTATAATATAAGGGATACATGAATTATCCATTTTATTTTCAATTTACTACTCCTACTATATAAAACGTGGAAAATAAAAATCAAGAATTAAATGGTATTCTATTCAAATCAAATTTCACAAAATTTAAGTAATATTGTAATCCAAGCAAACAGGTTGCCAATGAAGCAGCATATAATAATTGTGCATTGGGAACATACAAACGCACTGAGAGACGGTTGGCTGGCCGCCGTGATTCGGAGAAGACCGACGCTTCCCGGCGAGAAGCTCCGCCGCAGGAATACTCTGGGGGAAATAAAAAAAAAAAAAGCAATTATTTTTTGTATATTGGATGGAGTAATTAATTTTTCGGTTCGCACTCACTCGTTTGTTTTGGCGCATTTATAAGTTCACAAGTTCATGTTTGATGAAATTCCACCGGTTCTGCAGATCTTCCGTTCTCTCGTCGGTGTGAGGTGAGTCATCTTTCGTCCTTGCAAGTAGTTTTGATCGATTTTAGCTATCCGTTATCTGGGGCATTTTCTTCGGAAACTTTCTTGATGTTTATTTGGGATGTTCCCGAATCTCCCATTGCGGCTTTGAGTATTCATTTGCTTATGTTAAAGATAATCGTAGTTGGATTAATTGTTCGTGTGGTTTAAATTCCGCGTGTTTGCTTGAATTTTTACCCCGCTGCTATCTTTATAGTTGGTTATTGGGTTTGGTGATCGTGATTCTTAGAATTGGGGTTCAATTGGTTGGGTTTTTGGTACTAATGGAGGTTTGTGAACATTTTGAGTATTTTCTTGAAAATTAAACTTTCAATGTTACGAGGACACTGGTGGTGAGTTTGATCTTTCCTATTGAGTTTTATACATGTGATTGTTTTCAATCCCTAGTGCTCCTTCTCAGTTTGATGTTTACATCGAATTAGATGGGCAATATGCCTGGAGCAACCAATGAAGAAAATTGTGAGAGATTGTATAGGGAAGACGAAGATGAAAGAACTCTGCAGAGCTTGAGACAGGAATTGAGACCGCAAAACAAGGTTAAGGCTTCATCGTTGAAGGGAAAAGTTACAAACTATGTACGTAAATGCAATGGGAATCTAAGTTCTAGAAAGAAGATAATTAATAAAATCTCGAAGAAGAAGAAGATTGTCAGTAAAGCAATTGTGCAAAAGGCCAAAACCGCAAAGAAGCTTCATAAACGTAAGGCCGTGAGCACAAGAGATGGTGGAAAAACAGATGAGGTAGATTCGAAACCTGAAAAGTTAAAGAGGAGGAAGCGGAAGAAGAGGAAAATTAATGTGGAACTTGATGAAGCTGCCCGGTTACAAAATAAGACGAGGTACTTATTGATGAAGATGAGGCAGGAGCAGAATCTTATTGATGCTTACTCTGCCGAAGGCTGGAAAGGTCAGAGGTATAAATGATTTTCTATTTTGAATAATAATGGGTACTTACAAAACTATATTTCCTTCATATGTTACTCTCTTTCTAAAATAGTGTTTGATCGCAAATATAATTAATAAGAATATAACAAATGCGAATCAACTGATTTGGTAATGGATAAAGGAACTATGCTAGTGCACCATCTGAACCTACATTATTTTATGATGCCGAATCGTTTCAACTTAGATCAGGTGTTGTCTAATCACTTCCTACAGTTTTGGATGCCAAGTGTACAGTTATGAATCAAACAAGAAAGAATATGTTTTTAAGAGAAAAAAGTGTCGCCATGTGAATTGTGATGAACTGGATAATTATTCTTATTTTTGTACACATGTCATTGTGCACTGCATATTTCTCATATAAATTTGATTCTCTTTTCTTCTTTCAGCCGGGAAAAAATTAAACCAGAAAAAGAACTACAAAGAGCCAAGAAACAGATACTGAAGTGCAAACTAGGAATACGGGACGCCATTCGCCAATTGGATTCGCTTAGTTCTGAAGGACGAATAAATGATTCAAACATTGCACCTGATGGATCTGTTCATCATGAACATGTAATTCCATTTATTTTTCAACGTGGTGTTAGTGTGGGTTTTTGTATGCATATACATTTTCAAGCAATCGCATCATGATCCATGAGTATGTGTGTTTATAAATCTTTACTGTCTTTGAAACTTAATAGCCTTGGGAAATTAAAATACGTTGTATATTCACCTATTGAATAGCATCTGACTATTAGCTTGGTACTGTTCTTATATATATATGTTTCTGCCTGAGTAGAATCCTTATTTTTTATTTTTATGTTCAGATAATCTGTGCCAAGTGTGTACTGAGTGAAGCTTTCCCAGATAATGATATTATTCTCTGTGATGGGTCATGCAACCGTGCATTTCACCAGCAGTGTCTTGATCCTCCGCTGTTGACGGAAAACAGTGAGCTTTTTGAATCTTAATGCCTCTTGCACATAATATTGTAGTACATAGTATATTATCTGCTCCTGTTTGTGTTTCTGTAATGAAGTTATTGAATTTCCCAGTTCCACCAAGCGATGAAGGGTGGTTCTGCAACTTTTGCAAGAAGAAGATAGAAATTATTGAAGCAACAAATGCTCACCTAGGGACTCATTTTCTCTTAGATGTTGGCTGGGAGGTAGTATGACCTAAAGCTGACTGATTCTTACTGGCATCATTCCTTTTGGATATTTGTTAAGATTGTGTTAATTGGAATTTAACAGGATGTTTTCAAGGAAGAAGCCGCATTACCTGATGACGGAAATCTCATGTTATGTCCTGAAGGCGAGTGGCCATCCGATGATTCTGAAGATGATGACTATGATCCAGACAGAATTGAACATAGTGGCAGTGACAATGACAATAAATATGTGTCAGATTCCAATGCCGCTGATTGTAGTTCCAGTTATTCAGGGTCACTAGACGATGAAACAATTCTTGCAACTGGAAGAGTTGATGTTGGAAGTAATAGATCTGTCGGAAACTCTCTTGATATCAATGGAGTGGATTCCGATGATATAAACAATGGTGAAGTTATATCTCAACCCAGACAACGAGCTGCGGTTGACTATATAAAGTTACATGATGTAAGTAATCAAGATTCATGACACACCCACCATGTCTTTGAACACACAATCTGTGCCTTTTGATTTCACTGGCGTCTAAAATAAATAGCTAGTTTCTAATTTTCCTCAAGATTTCTATTGTAGTAAGAATCTTTTTTAAAGGTACAAAATTCTCTTGCGCAAGAGCTGAGGCTTTGTTTTCCTGGGTTGATGAATGATTGCAGTTGAAATGGTTGTCTTTTACTTCCTTCACTGAAATAAGAATACTATTGTGTGAGAACAGGATTTATGATATTGTTTTGCCTTGTCATTAGGAAATGTTTGGAAAGAATGCTAATGAAAATGAAGAAATAAGTGACGATGAAGACTGGGGTCCCCGAAAAAGAAAGCGCCGAGCAAAGGAGGCCAATGCTGCCACTATGCCTGTGATTTTAGGTGAAAATGATGACGGAAACTCAGAGGAAACATCACAAAATTTGAAAGAGAGACAGTTGATCAAGAAAATGAAGAGACCAATATTCAGACTCCCACATGATGCAGTTGAGGTAGTATAACTTCAGTTTTGTTGTCATTTCATTTTTTTCTGGCTTTCTAATTCTCTGCATTTTATGTGTGCTCTAGAAGCTTCGGATTGCTTTTGCTGAGAATGAACTCCCAGAAAGAGCCGTGAGAGTGAATCTTTCGCAGCAGCTTGGCCTAGAAGTAGAGAAGGTAATATATGTTTAATTTCAGAAAAAATGATAATTTTCAATTTAAAATAGGTTGTGCTAGTTTTTATATTCCAGAGAACAACTGGAGACCCATCTCTTACACTGTTTGATGAGTTTTGCTAATATATCGTGATTCCCATTCATGCTTATTTCCTAATTCATATATGAAATGTGTCATCTTTCTTGGTAAGTAGTGAAATTAATGTTACTTAAACATCAGGCTAGTGTTAAATGTATTCATACATGACAGTAGTCAGAACTTAGCTGTTAATGACGTCATGGCAACACGTGCCTCATCCAGAGGTGCCGTTCCTGTGTCACAAGGCACATTTCTTACTTTTATATGTATTAGAATAAATTAGGTTTTTTTCTGAGAAAATGACATAAAACAAATAGTAACTAGTAAGTCACTCTGAGTTCCTCCCGCTGATAGCCGCGGCGCCTGCACCCCCCTGTTTTCCATTTCTCCTTCTTGCCTCTCATAACTTTCTCCAATCTTCCACCATGAAGCCATCATCGCCAGTCAACTGCCAGGTAAGGTAGTAGTCAATTCTGTTTTTCTTGAAGTGTTTGATTTCCTTTTATGCTTATATTTCCTAATTAATGATGTATATGTTGAAGTTTACTCTTGTTCAATATTATATTGCCTCTATTGAGTTGTATTATGTGCGCATATATATGCTAAAAACATATCAATAGTTATAGGGCCCTCCGCGCGCCATATGTGGTGCTGTGCCTTGCACCGTTTACAACTATGAATCAGATGGAAAAAGTAAAACACTAGGATCCAGACCACAATTTCTGATTAGGGAGTGTAACCCAGAGATCTTGAGTCATGAGAAAGAAACCTACCTATTTTTTAGAAGGTTATTGTGAATTGTGTATTATTTCTATGAGTTTTGTTGATATGTTTATTTTCTGTTTGCAGGTCAATAAATGGTTCAAGAATTCGCGCTACTTAGCATTAAAAGCAAGAAAGCAAGTTAGTACCTAATTAAATCTCAAATTTATACTCCCTCCGTATCCAGAAAATTCACTCATAGTTTTGAGCATGGGTTTTAATGTGGGTGTGTATTTTTTTAAGTTTTTTTTTTTTTTTTTATTACTTTTTTGCTTTTTATAATAAAAAAATTAGAATAAGTGGTATGACTTTGTATTAAATAAGAAAATAGAACATTTTTAAGAGACAAAAAGTTAGCATATTTTTAGTTGAATTTTTCTTGACTTGCATCTTATGTTGCTTGTTCTTAATTTCATGTATCTTAGTGGGTCACTAACATCTTCATCGTAACTATGATAATGTAAAGTCAAGTGATGGTGTTCTATCCTATTTCATTCTCTCCAATCAGCTAAATTATTCATCATGCTTCTGGGATGTATTATGTAACCTCTTCGTTCAATACAATCCTAGTTGTAAAGTTTGAATCTGAATTGTTAAGCATGCCTATCAACAGGCAGAAAGAGCTCAAGCATCTAACGACAACAATTCCAGCATCCCAAAGGGTTCTGCATCAGAAATTGCCAATGATAGCCCTCATGATGAAACGGCAGTAAGGATGAATACAGCATCACAAAAATCTAAAGGAAGTGAAAAATTGGCCAGACGAAGGGACTCTCATTTGCAGGTGAATTCTTCTAAGATAAAGCAGCAAGGGAAACCAATTTCACAGAAAGCCGGAACTAATCAGGTATTGTGGGGCTATTAATAACTGGCATCCATATAGATTATTCAATAAGTTGAAGGAGTTGAAGTTGAAAGATTATTCATCTATAAGTTTAGCAATGCTGTTAAATGGATGGTCATATCAATAAGATGCTTTAACCATTAATGTTACGGTTGGAACTGATTTGACCTGGTTTCCCCATCAGAAAGTGATGCTCCACCATCACATTACCATTCTTTCAGGTCATGATAGTTAATAATGAGTCAAGAACATTTGTTGCTTAGAATCTATGAGCATTACTAGATTAAGCTGCATGGTGTCAAGATAAATCATATGCTTCTGCTTATCTACTTGAATGCCAGAGAAATCATTTATATTAGTTCAAACATTTTCAGGAAACTAAAACAACAGTTAAAAAATTTGCATCAGTTTCTGCTTCTGATGAGGGTTGCTGATGTAGAACATACTTGGCAGCTAGAGTTGAGGTTGATAGTGGTGGTTGGAAATGAATAGAATTTTTTCAAAGAGACTGATTGAATGTGTGTTGCCAACTACTGATTCGGATCTTTTATGGTGCTGTCAATTTCTTTCATTAGCTTTAAGATTTTCTGCCCAGTGATGTGAAATAAATGTGTTCATGTGCTTTTCGTATCAGAAGGCAGCTTTGTTTGTCAATGGGTTGATTTAAGCTGCCCTGTGATCATGAGGGTTAGGCATTTTGCCAAAGTTCTGCTTGCTTGTGCATCAATAAGTGAATCATATATATATATATACACTTCCAAGAACACACCATCGTATCTGCATTTTGCTGATCGGGTTATTTTTCTCTACTTCCTGCCATCAGATGGCTGCAGAGCTCGGGGACGATGTGAGCCTAAAACAACTAAGGGAGAAAGCCAAAGAAGACAAGAAGAAACGGACTTGCCAAAAAAGGAGCGCCGAGCAAGAAGCAGAGGCTGAAATGGAAAGGCTGTGTCAACTCAAGACCCGAGTCGAGAAACTGCAGGAAGTGCTACTTAAGTTTCCAAGCCGGCCATCTAAAAAACGCGGCACCAGTAAAGACAGATCAACCAATTCGCGTGACCCGGCGATTGTATATGTACCTGTAGCAGAATTGAAGGAGAAAAGGTGACAATTTTTAAACCCTCCCAATCTCTTTTACAATCAAAAGTTTTGCAGTTACTGTAAATACTTTTGTGAGATTATTGTATCGTTTCTATTATTATTATTATTATGAGTAAACAAAGAGCTTATAGTAATAGTAATAGTCATACATGAGAATGGAAACATGAGTAATACAGGACAGCTGTGCACTTTTCCGACCAAATGAGCTTTGTTCTTGTTGATGAATTTGGCAAAATTAATAATTGAAACAGAGAAGACAAGACAACCTCTTGAAGTAGTACCAAAATTACAAATAAAAACTAAACTGTTTCAACTCTTGCTCGTCGTTCCTAATTCCTCTTAGAACAGACAAAAACACTACAAAATAGGAAGGATGAAAATGGCTCTTTATTTCGACCCTTTCCTTCATTTATTCGTCCGGGGGATTTGGGTTCTCACGAATCGTCCCTGCAACGCCATGGGAGATGATTTTCAGGTGCAAATAAATAAAGGGATTCGATGATTTTAAGGAATATGAGTGATGATTAATATAATTTGCACCTTCATTCTTGGTCGGCGGTCAGCGTTGACTTTGCGGACTTGATACCTGATTTTCTTGGAGAATAACCTCGTCCGCCGCTTTTCCTTGTACCGGAGAACGCTGGCTTCTCTGATCCCGCCGTTGTCGGAGAAGAGGTCTATCTGCGCGAGCCGGGCCTGCAACGGTCCGATCAGAAATTATTTGTTAAAGCTTATTTTTTATTTTTTCCGATGGTAATGTGGTTTGAGCATGGCGGCTTACTTGGACATCGCCGCCGGCGGGGTCGGCGTCGGCGTCGACGGAGGAGAACGGCGAGGGCTTATCGGACCACGCGTTCAAAACGCCGTCGTAATTGAGCTTCAGGAGCAGTCCGGCGGTTGGTTGAGGGGCGGCGGCGGCGGCGGAGTCGTCGGACGCCGCCTTGTTGGCGTTCTTGGTCGTCTGAATTGGGGAAATTGATGAATTTTCGACCTTCAACGGCGCCGATGAAGTAATGATTCTGTTGACGCTGCTGACCTTCTTCTTCTTCTTCGTCTTGTCGGCCGGAGATTTGTCGGCCGGCGTCGGAGGGGTTATGTCGACCACATTTACGCAGGGGAAGCGCCACCAGTCGCCGTCGTCGACATTTCTGAAAGCTTTCGGCTCCCTCCTAATTCCATACGCAAAATCAAACCCCAACCCGACCGGATACCCGTAGCAGCAGTTATTCTGGTCGCCGCCGGCGAGGGAATCCGAATATTCCGGCGGGCCATTTCCCAAAATACTATCAATCCCCTCCCCGATTTCCTCATCCAGTATGGATTCAGCGTCGAAGTCATCCTGATGGTTCTCGTCGCCGACAATCTCGCACGAGTTAACCGTTACAGCCCCCCGGGAGTCAATCTCGCCGGGACTCCGGCAATCCTTGACGGCCGGAAAATTATGGCGTTGCGGCTGCAAGAAGAAGCCGGCGCCGTCGATGAGGAGGTCGGCGGAGTCGAGGGAGAAGGAGAAAGGATTCTTGGTGAATTTGGTGAGGTGTTTGGCGGGGAAAAGCTTTGGATAAGCTGTGGAAAGAATGGCGGCGGCTTCATTGTATGTCTGGTTAGGCCTCTTTCGGGGGGTCCGAGGTTTTCTGGTGGAGAAAGAATTGCTGGATTCCGACAGAGTGGAAGATGGAGACGATGAGTTGGAAATCCAGGAAGATGTCGAAGGGGATTTGATAATCTCAAGGTCCAGAGATTCTAATCTGTAGGCTCTTCCGGCGCCGCTCAGGCAAGAAGACGACATTGTAGAATCAAAATCAAATGAAATCAAATAAAAAATCTATGTTTACCTGTAATGGAAGAAATCAAGAAACAGGGGAAGGAAGATTGAATGATGATTGATTGATTGTACTTTTGTGTGTGTTGTAGCAGGGGAGTATTACTCTTTTACTACCTTGAAGTCATCGAAACCTGAACAGGGTGTGTTTGGTTATTACAGCAAAACACAAAAACCCAGGAAAAGAATGAAAGAGCTGCAGATTCATCCAAAGAGTGCCATTTGTGGATAGATAGATAGATAGATAGATAGATGGATAGATAGTCCCAACAAAAAAAAAAAAAAAGGGTATTTGCTAATTGGTAGTAATTGGGCAATTGGGTTTCCTCTCCTCTCCTCTTCTCTTCTTTCCTTTCCTTTGCTTTGGTCTGCAATTGGAGCACTGACAGAGCAGAGTACATTCAATCCAGCCAATCAACCACAGAGAAACTCAAAACGGTGGAAGCATCTATGTATCTATATATATGTGTGTGTATATATATATGTAGAGAGAGAGAGAGAAGGGGGTTCTTGAAATTGGTTGGGGAGGGTGATAGATGACAGAGAATGAAAGAAAATATCTAAGAAAAAGGAAGTGATCTGAATTTATATTTGGCATGGAAACAGGGTGAATGAGTGAGTGATTAGAAGGCTGTGTAGGGCACTGCACTCACGAGACCCATACACTTTCAAGAAAATTCAAATTTTATAAAAAAAAAAAAAAGGGTCAGCGACCGCTGGTGGTCATTTCTCAAGCACATACTACTCTCTCTCTCTCTATATATATATATATATAATTATGTATGTATGTAAAGTTGTAATAAGAGATGAGGGAAGGGAATGGTATGGAGGAGATGAGAAGAGAAGAGAACAGAACAGAGGGACAGTGGCTTTGGCTGGGCTCTGCAGACACTCACTGGACCACTCTCACTCCTCTAATTTTCTCTCTCTTCTCTGTTTCTTTTGCATCACTTTTGCACTTTTAGCAGCAGTGCTTAATAATTAATATATTGATGATAGCTGTGAATTGAGATTTTACAAGAACCACCCTACCCTGTTTCATAACTTCAAAAAGAAAAAAAAAAAAGAAAATGATTTTCTTGATATTCATTCAATTTCAATGAATAATAATAATACCCTTTTGAGGTTGACCCTCCTCTGCACTCAAATAGTTCCATAAATGGGAGCTAAATTCTCAAAGGCATCTTCAATATGTTGTGTCACAACAAGAAATAATTCAATTTTTTTTTTTTTTAACATCAAATTTCTTTCCAATTTTAGAAGGGTAAAAGGGTAAATTTGTGGAGGAGTCCAATGCCCAATGATGGGCAGGGCAGGGCAGAGCAGAGATAGATTTCTTGATTGAATTTTGTTCTATTTTGGCAATAGGTAAAAAGTACCCATTCTTTATCTCTCTCTTTTTTATTTTATTATCTTTATTTAATCCTTACAACTTCAGGAATTTCAATGATGGAAAAAGTGCCCTTATCTGCTGACGTGGAGGGACACCATTGGTTGCCTAGATTTCCCATGATGACGTGGACTGCTCTTTATTGGTTGGTGGATTTTTGGTCTGGATCAGAACAATGATTTATTATTATTTTCGCGTGGGCCTTTCTGTGTGGAACTGAGTAATTACACGTTAGTCTATTTTTGTTCATTGAATTGTGATTAGAATAAATTTGTATGTATTTTGGTTTTTATTGCATTTTGCTTTTTCCTTTAAACATTGCTTCGGACACCCCTTTTTTTTTTTAATAAATAATATATATATTTTTTTGGAGGGCCTCAAATATGATATTTTGAAATTGTGGATATGGAGAAATTTGTAAGTTTAATTCTTGACTTAGGGTTTGTTTACATTTTAGTATTTACTTTTGACCCGAAACAAAAATGGATGGCAAATTTATAGATTTTTGACACGCAACAAATTTAAATTATAAAATTAATAATATTATACATGTATATCTCTATTCACTTACTTTCAAAATCTACCACTAGTTGACATTTTTTTTTTGTGTGTTTCGTATCATATTAAAATAAATAAATAAGTAAATTGTGGGCCCATGAGTTAAAAATAATATCCCAACCAGACGACATCATATAATTTATTTATTTTACATGGTTCTGGATACAATACATCAGGGTTTTTCTTTTTTGTTTTGTTGGGGTTTAAGGTTGATTGGAGTAAGATATTTTAAAAAATATCTCCAATCTTTCAACATCTTTTACACATCATAATTATATGTATATATGTACATACATACACACACCTATCTAACATATTATCAACACAAAAAAATTACACTTAGACATTTATAGTACCTAATTTAGTGGGAAAAAAAAAAGGGAACAAAAATTACAGCATAATCTCACAAGTAATTATAATAAAAATTTATTTTAGCAATGGAAAAGTAACAGTAATTCCTAAAATAAAAAAATAAAATATTGAAATAGGAGTGTCTGAGTTGAAGATATGAAACAGTGCAATGAGACAAATGAAGTATGTAGAATTTAAAAATGTAATCTGAGGCCAGAAAAGTTGCTGTCTCTTAGATTTTGTAAGCATTGGGATTGCCTTATCTCATGGGGTTGGGATTTTTGTGGCCTTTGATTTTGGATAGCCCTAAATTGTAGAAATAATTCATTCTGGATCACAAATTCAATTAATTACAAACCCCCTTTAATCATGGTTCCAAATTAAAACTAAACCTTGGGTGCATTATTAATTAAAAAGGGTCAATATCAGAGGCATACATACATACCAATAGTGACAAAGTTCCTGTTTCTGTTATTGAAACTACTAGTAGAATATGGGTTTTAAATAAAATATAAAAAGGATTTTAAATATATATATATATGTGTTAAATTGCCCAATTCTGAAAGACAAGCCTCCATGCTCTAAAGGAATGGTTTCATCTGCAACACCCATCACTTGCTCATATTCTTCAGATTTGTTTTTACTCTAAGCTGCAAATTATGACACTGTATGTAGGAAGAAGAATAGGATACATACATATATATGTGTATGTATAATGTTGTTTTTTTTTCTTGTCGATGTGTCCAGAGTTGTCAAAGCAATTCGGCTTTGGGAAAGCTACATCAAACAGGCGATCCGGTGTCCGGGGAAAAACACAAAAAAAATACCAGAATGAACAAGAACTACAAAACTTGTTAAGTACTGTGAATTTATTTTCTCACCCATGGGGAAACTGGGTGCTCGTTCCAACTCGATTATATGGGAAATAAATAATCACGCATGAAAGGGGGCTGGGCGTCACCAGCTTGAGAGGGGAGATGATCGCTGATCTTCATACGTCCAACAGCAGTCGGCGAGGATCTTCCACCACGTCTTTGATCCTTCGCAGGAAGAACACTGCCTCTCTCCCGTCGATCAGCCTGTGGTCGTACGTCAGAGCAATGTACATCATAGGCCTCGAGACGATGTTACCTCCAACAACCATGGGACGGTTCACTATTGAGTGCATTCCCAGGATGGCAGACTGTAATTTTATGCGATGGGATTAATTCCGGAGGAAGAATATATGTAGGATAATGGAAACGTGCAGCTAAAAGCCAGAATCGAACAAACCTGAGGAGGGTTGATGATGGGAGTGCTCAAAAGACTTCCATAGACACCGCCGTTGGAAATGGTGAACGTTCCCCCGGCCATCTCATCAATCGATATGGAGCCATCATTGGCCTTCTTAGCTAGATTGTTGATCTCCTTTTCAACCTCGGCAAAATTCATGGCCTCAGCATTGCGAAGAACTGGAACAACCAGACCCTAATCAACATCAAATGAGAGATTCTGTGAGCCTTCTTATATCCGATGCATAGTCCCAAACTCTAACAAGTTAGATGTCCTTTGACTTATAAGAAACACTAGTTCTACATAGAATCGAATTTTGAAAAATATGGCAACTCTAATATGTATGTATGGGTTGCATGGAAAATTTTGAATCCAATCAGTTTGATCAACCAACAATAGCAAAAAGTAATGAGGTGAAACTCTTGCCTTGGGGGTGCCAACAGCTATGCTAATATCTACGTAGTCCCTATAGATGATGTCGTCCCCATCAATGACTGCATTTACTATTGGCTGCTTCTGAAGTGCACTGATAGCTGCCTGAAAATTCAGGAGTGCTGAGTCCAGAGTAAAACCAATTGTGAGTAATAAAAAACCTTGAAAATAGATGGTGGCATACTTTTACAAATCCAGACATCAGTCCTAGCTTCACTCCATGTTTTTCAACAAATGTATCCTTGTAATCGGATCGTAGCTTCATCAAATTGGTCCTATTACCAGAATTAGAATGGCCAATGTCAGAATTTTACCAGATAGAATTTACATAGATGCAGTAAACACATCAACCAGTATGCAATGTTGAATAGCAGGCAGAATTACTGTATATAACTCCAACTGGCTTAATTACAAAGTTAATCAGTTTGTGTGCTAAACAGATTCCAATCATAATAACTAAGCAAAAACCAATGTCATGACTGAGGAAACCAGTAGAACCAATTTGGTGAAGTTATAGCCTATCATGGATGAAATTTTTTCTTGCTCTTTTTCAGTTTTTGAAATGAGAAATATCATGATTTTAAAGCTTCATCCAGTCATTACTTGATCATTAGAAATAAGGTGAAATTTTGAATATCTAGCACAGATACTCATTACCCAGGTTTAGGGGAAAAGAAAATAAAAGACAGGCAACATAGATGCGAACTTACATATCAACTTCATTAAATGTTGTCAACAATGCAAAGGTGTTCTGAGAATCCTTCAGTCTAGTTGCAACTCTCTTCCTTAGTCTTGTCATTGGAACCTATCACAGCAAAGCAGGTTCTTATGTATGACATACAAAAATAATAACAAAATTGTAATTGTGATATATCAAACTTTGAACTTACTCGTCTTTCTCTATCTTTGGGGGGTAGTTGGGGTTCTGCAGCTGATGGTTTCGGAGGAGGAGGAGGAGGACTTCCCTTGGGCTTCTCAACAATTGGGGCTTTTTCAACTTTAGGTGCAGGCTTCTCCTTTTTCTCTTCAGCAGGAGGCGAAGAAGTTTTTGTAGATGTTTTAGCATCAGAGGGTGCAACATGGGTAGCACCTTCACCAGATCTTGATATAATAGCAACCTTGGTGCCAGGTTCCACAGTATCTCCTTCCTTAGCTATGAACTATTGCACAACAAAGATGAAAATTAAAATTAAAAATCAGAACATAAACAACAGCACAAGAAGCTATTAAAGAACATGAATAGAGAAACCAGTTCAGTCTGATTCTAAAACATTGTACCTCCTTGATCACACCTGCCTCAGGGCTGTTGACATCAATAGTCACCTGGTAAACAGCAACCAAAATGCCAGTTGTTAGTCAGGTAACCAGAAAAACGAGTTTAGATATCAAATAATACTTTCAGTAGCAATCCTGTGGGCAAATTATGTAATGTTTCACACCACATACTAAGACATCAGGCCTATTCATTGTTTACAAGTGAGAAAGAGAAGATTCACTCTGAAATTTCAGGAGCACCTCTCAGAATTGAAATCATAGTACATGGAGAAGTTAATGCATACACTCCAAAAGTATCCAAAATTTCCATACCTTATCTGTTTCAATTTGGGCTATTGGCTCATCAACTTCTACTCTGTCGCCAGGTTCTACTCAGACCAACGAGCATTACAAACAAAAGCAAGAGGTTAATCAACAATCGTGATTGCTTGAATGGATGATGACCAGGTCTTTTAGGGACGTACTTTTCAAGAATGTTGCCAAGGTGCCATCAGTTATAGATTCACCCATAAAAGGGACAACAGCTTCAAAAACATCACCATCTGTTTGTGCATCAATGGAGGAGGGCAAGTTATAAGCAGAATACACTTATACAACCACAAAATGCTTAAGCAGATATTCTGTCTCCAAGCATGCCTTTCATAGTAAAAATTCATCCTAATTTTGGCCATCATATGTTAACCTACACTGTAATAAATGTCCTTAACAACTACAGTCAAACATGCATTGACGAACACAAGATAAATGCTTCTAGTATTGTTACCATATCAGCAAAATATCATGTCAATCACATATGCAAAATTTTCTAGTTCACGCATTCAACTTTTATGTGACTTTCCTGTAAAAAAATTAGCTGTTTACTTCATGAAGGGTATTTTTTTTAATGTATTTCCCTGCATTTTTTTTGGTTAATAATAGATTTGAGTTGTACACAATAAATGAAACAGAATTTAATACAGGTTCTATGTTTCTTATATTCCTGGAACAATTATAAGAACACAGTTTAAACAAAATCAGGTAGTAAATTGAAGTGGTACCGTTAGAACTGAATGATCTGCTCCAAATCTGCACACTGGCATCATGCTGAAGACACCCCACCAGTTCCCTACAAATAGCCCAAAATTCTAAATTGAATCTTATAAATTGATGTGGAATACTAATAGAAATATGTCAGACATCGAATACTTAACATCAACTAATCACTGTGATAAGGCATATCTATAAATTTAGGTAACAAAGCCTTCACACGATAATAAGACCAATGGAAGAAAGAGTATTTTCTTATAGCCTGACCTTGCTAGTTATTTTTTAAAAAAAAAAAGGAAAAAAAAATAAAAAAGAAACAAAGCATAAGTTCTAACTAAAACAAATCAATTAAATTAATATGTACAGCCTCAACTATTTTTGTTGAATATTTTGTATTGGTTATATATAGTTAGAATTTGTGAAACCAATTTTCATCTTAATATGGACTCTTCTATAAGAACCACAGATGGTGATGGAGCTCACCTCTTTGGCAGCAGAGTCATCATGCGTCCTGTGACATAACAAAGAACTAATCAACCACAAAACACATTTAAAGTGGTTTTATGTTATACAAAGGAGAAAACAAGATACCCTACCAGCCAATGGAACGTGACATATCATTCGAACATTGTAAAATTGTCTGGTGTAATGTGTGATCTGTTAATAATAGCAGATATAAGGGAAAATGACATTGATGAATAATATAAATCAACCATAAAAAAAGTGCATTCTCAGGACAACAAACAGATATACATCCTTACATCTTAACCGCACTCATCTACTAGAACAATCATCTTATAGATCAGCTGTAAAAACAGGACAACTTGGGACAAATTTTTATACGTTTTAATGCTTTCTGAGGATTACAGAGTACCTAGGACATATTACAAAGATCCATTGTAATCATCATCTGAGCTTTGTCCCATTGTGTGCGCCAGCTATCTTTCAAAAATATGAAATAATCACTTAATTCACCCGCCAGAATTTCAAATTAACTAATTATACCATATACAAAAACACAAAACTATGTAGTATATCTTTGTGTCTGCATGGAAATGCTCTCCGATTGTGTACGCAGAAAACAAGAACAGCAATAACTACCTCTTCAGAGACTGCAGAACTCGCTCGCAACGCAGAAACTGCAGGTTTGAGCTTATCCACTCTCCCATACACCTAAAAAAGAAACAAATGAATCCCTTATTGCACATAAGAGCTTTTCAAAACAAATGCAATAAACGACCAATATCTACATAAGAAATGTAAATATGCAAAAGTGGCTTCACGAAAAATCACCGAAAACATAAAAATGAAGAAATTACCCAAGCAGATGAAGCGCACGAAGCAGCCTTCCGCCTGAAAACGCCCAACATCACGTCGTTGATCTACTACAGCTGCAAAACAAACACGTTATTCGTTTCGAAGACGATTACAATACAACCAAAAAGAAATGGCAACAAAAAACGGACAAATTTCCGAAATAAACAAAACAATTCAAACAAACGAACCGCAGGCCACTAATTACAGATCTGGAGAAAATAAAACCGCAAAATATATATACATAAAATTAAAAACAATGGCGAAATCGAACAGCTAATCCGACCTAGGGTTTGATTGCAGCGAGAAGAAAAGTCCGAATGCGCCAAAAAGGCGAAATACAATTCCAAGCAACCAGGCGGATCGGTGCCCTTCCAGAAAACTATTGAATATTGACTTTTAATGATCGAAGGAGAGGAGAGGAGATGATGAGCTCCACTTCTAATGTCAGGTCACAGGAAGAATAAATGCTTTGGGCTCGGGTCACGTCACACATTAAGGGCCGCCAAGTGTTAATCAACGCTTAATTGGGCTCAAATGGGCAGGCCCATTTTATAAATTATGGGCTTATATTTGGGCCTTTACTGGGACTTGGGCTATATCTAAGGCCGCGTTCGTATGGTAAGCGTAGTTAGTTATATTTTATTCTTCTCTCCTTAATTTTTTGTTTATTATTATTATAATTTTATTTATTTTTAATTGGAGTTAAAACCCTTTTCGCCCTTACATTTGCTGTTCGGTGTGTCCAAACCCTCGCGCTTCGAATCTCGGGAAAAGGCGGAAAATCGTCGCGCGAAATGGCCTCCACGCAGTTACCGGCAGCCAACGGAGACGAGCAACCACTTGGGGCTGAGACGGAAGCTAAAGGCGAGGAGGCGGGGGCGGAGGAGAAGGTGGAAGCGGAGGAGGGGGCGGGGGCTCCCGGTGCTGCCGATACAACGAAGGCTGATGTGAAGGAAGGATTGGTGGAAGATAAGCCCAAGTGGCCGGGTTGGCCGGGATACACTGTGTTTCGGGTAATTGTGCCGGTGCTGAAAGTGGGTGGCATTATTGGGCGGAAGGGAGATCTCATTAAGAAGCTTGTTGAGGAGACACGAGCTAGGGTTCGAGTGCTCGATGGCCCAGTCACCTCTCTCGATCGAATTGTAATTTGCCCTCTCTTTTCATCTATCTACTTACACATGAGCATGTTGGGGTTGTCTAATTCTCTTTCGTTTCGGATTTGAGTTATAATTAAACTTAGGAGCTTCGTTATGATTTTCCCAGGCTTCAACTTTAAGTCCTTCAGTTTTCAGTTCTAGATTGCGGCAAAGTAAATTTCTTTTAGGGTTTTTACATTTTCTAAGTAAAATCGAAGTTATTTTCCGACCTCGGGCTAGCTCATCGTGTTTAGTCTAAATTGTTTAATCTATACTCTATTTTATCAATCTCTTTTCTTAGTATTTAGCTGTTACGTTTGCCTTATTAGTTCTGGACAATTTTTTTTTTCCTTTGACAGCAAGAATAATATTTCATGTTAAATAATTATGTTTTTGATTCCATCATATAGATTTTAATAGGTAATTTAGATTTCAGCATTGATTCTCCAAAAACACTTGGTTCATGATAATGCAGTTGCAGATTGTAACGATATTGACATTAACTTATCTCATGAAGTGTTTTATAATATTTGTAATTGGCACTTCTGTTGTTCTTTTCTCAGCCTGGAGGGAAAGAACTTACATTTATGATGAAAATTTTTCTAAATCCTGTTATCTCTTTTGTTTACAACGATCTCTTGGAATTTACCCTGCTTGAGCAGTAATTATAAATGATAGGGTCAAAATTAATTCCTGCCTCTCGGGTTTAGTCTAAAACTTGTTATTGAAGCAGTCTTATGATGTGATTATTTACTTACAACGTGGAAGGAGAAAAAGTGTGATTATGACAAATCTCAGTATTTTTAATGTTGGCTGAGTTCTCTTGTTCTGGTCTGCTTAAATATCAGTAGTAATTTCCAAGTGTTCTCTAGTGTTTTTCTTTTGTATTTGCTCCATTTCAATCATTGCAACTGGTGGTTGGTTGGTCCTCTCTTTTCTTGCCTCCAGTACCATGTCAGGTTACAACTGGACTGTTGATATGAATTTTTTTCAACCACAATACCAATTCTTTTGTTTCCTCTGTTTTTGCAATTTTTAACACCTGCTAGGTGAGACTACATGTCCGTGTATTTCTTTCATATGCATTCTCTCAAATAGAGAGGTGCATGCAAATAGAGTAACTTGTCAATCAATATTTCCAGTGTTACATGCTATATGGGGAAGGGTTGTTACATGATGCCAGATTAAGTTTCTGAGATGCCGTAGTTTATAATTAACACATTTTGAGTTCATCACCTCATGATGCTAATACTGAAGTGCTTTCGAATGTATTTCAACAAATGTGTACTTATGATTTGTCTGATTATTTTATCAACTTTGATAGGCTTCCTATCAGGTGAATGCTAATAGCTAGATGAATAGAAATTAAATAATTGTGAAGCTAACATATCAAATGCTGTTGAATTCAATGTCTTATGTTACACTGTTCTATAGGTGCAAGAATGCTACAACCTTCACTCAATCAATTATGATTGGCTATATCTTCTATGAGATAGAAGCCATTTTTCCTATCATGCTACATGATAAGGGATATGTCCTCTATGTCTGTATAGGATGAATTTCTTATTCTGAGCCAATTGAAGTTGACTAATTACTTTTTCCTGAATTAGGCACATTCCTATGGGCCTGGAAGATGATACTGATTAAAAAATGGCTGTGCTTCAGTTTTTGTCCATTGATTAAACACCCAAGGGTCTGCTATTGTCTAGCTTTTTTACTAAAAAGATGATTCTGTTCTAGTTACCATTGCTTGCAATTTTCTTCTACTGCCTTGTTTTGGGATATATTTTGCACTTTACTGAACTGTCAAACTGCCTATATGTCAGGTTTTGATATATGGGAAAGAAGATCCAGAAGCAGCCTTGCCACCGGCAGTAGATGCTGCAATAAGAATCTTCAAGCGTGTTAATGCACTACCTGAGAATGATGGTGATGCCTCATCTATTGCTACTTCTGGAACTGCATTCTGTTCTATTCGTTTCTTGGTGGCATCAACACAGGCCATAAGCTTAATAGGGAAACAAGGCTCCTTGATTAAATCTATTCAGGAAAACACCAATGCTTCTGTCCGGGTGCTTCCAAATGGTATAATAGCAACTCACTCATAATCTTGTTTACATTGTGGAGAACTTGAAATGTGATGTTGCTTGCCCGAATAAGCAGTTACTCTTCTGTTGCTATTTTCTCCTGCAGAATTTGAAATTTTCATGTTATATTTTCTTAATAACACATCTTGTTCAGTGGAAGCTTGAAGTTATATAGACTTATATAAAGCCCAAGTAACTGTTATGTGGGAAAATTAAATCATATCGTTTGTAGATTTTCTTTTTTTAGAACTTTTTTTTATTTATTATATTTTTTTCACACTGTTGTGTCCCATGGAGATCAAATCCCAACCCTTATGATGAAAGAGGCATTACATTTATGAGGTTTTTGTTTTTTTTAATCAGATGAATTGTCAGCGTATGCTACCCCTGATGAAAGAATTGTTGAGTTACAAGGAGAAGGTCTTAAGGTCATTAAGGCTCTGGAAGCTGTATTGGGACACCTGAGAAAATTTTTGGTAGATCAGACTGTACTTCCCCTATTTGAGAAGAGCGTAAGTGTGTTCTTAAATAATTTAATGTTCTTCAAAGTCGTGAACCTAGTGTGATATATGAGTTTTTCTTCTTTAACAGTACAGTAATGCACCACCCACTGAAGAACGACCAGCAGACCCCTGGTCTGATAAGACATTGATGCATGCTGCTCCAAAGTCCTCGCTAGGCACTGATTACCCTGTTCCAGTGAAAAGGAATCCTCTCTTTCATGACCACGAAAGGGAGATTGAATCACATATCCCATCTTCTAGACTTTCTTTGTATGCACCAGATCATGGACTTGGTTCTCGAACCTCAGGAATAGGACGCACTGGTGGCCCGGTTGTAACTCAGGTTTGTATACATGTTGAACTGCAATTCTTTATTTGATTTCGTGAAGGTAACACACTCTCTTCCCATTAACATGTTAACATTTGTTGCCTCTGTGCAGATTGCCCAGACCATGCAAATACCTCTGGCTTATGCAGAGGACATTATCGGTGTTCAAGGAGCAAACATTGAATACATCCGACGCACCAGTGGTGCCATTCTTACTGTGCAAGAAAGTAGAGGCCTCCCTGAGGAAATAACTGTGGAAATCAAAGGCACCTCCTCACAAGTTCAGGCTGCTCAGCAGCTTATTCAGGTAAGCAAGGTGTCTACCTGTTTTACCACCTGTCTTGCCGTAGTCCTATATAAAACACGTTGAGGAATCGTTACTTGGGTGTATGTTGTGCAGGAATTCACTAGCGGCCACAGAGAACCGCCTACCGACAGATACGGGAAGCTGGATTCCAGTTCGAGGCCCTCATACTCGCAGTTAGGCATGAGCTCTTTTCCATCATCGTCATTTTCAGGACAACCTTACGGTGGCTACGGCTCAGGATATAGTAGCTTTAGGATGTAATTTGTTCTATAGGATGAAGAAACCTGGGGCAATGTTTTTCTCTGTGTTCTGTGCCAGATTCTAATCTGTAAAGTGACCTGACCCCGATGAAGCACGGTCGTTGATCATCACCCTATGTGTGTTGCTTTTGTTTTATTGTTTTTAGCAGCTCTGCTCTAATGCAATAGTTTTCCTGTTTTATTGTTTTAGTCTCTGTGTGTACTATATTGGAAATTATTTCAATAATCCTCACAAAGAACTCAATTCTTGTTTAAGGTTTCCACGATCTTCTTTTTGAGTCGTTGCTAAATTTCATACTTGGTAGATATCTAGATTAAGAACATCTAATGTGTGTGTACATATAATATATATAAATAATCTGATATATATATATATATATATGTATACTCTTGAAGTATGGCGAAAATACTCGTCGCGTGCCTGGTGTAATTGTATTGATCTCCTCGGGGTATGCTGCCATTCTCGCCGGAATCTCTCTCGTAGCCGCCGGTGACGTAAGTTTATGTAATGTCTTTCTGCACTGTAACTGCTTTTGTAATCTATTTGCAAAATTGGATCTGTGTGACGTGTTTTTTGTCAGTTGTCTGTTAATTCCAATTATTTGCAATGTGCATTTCTTTGGCCCCTCTGCCAATGTTCGCGTTTTGTTTTAGGGTTTGTGTTAAGAACATTCGTCGTTGCTTCTGGTGATAAACTCTTTTTTTTTTAAACTGTTTCAAAATTCTTAGTCGATGCGAATTAAACTACCAGTGTAGAACATTCGTGCGGTTAGATGGATTACCAGTGTAATGTATACAGACAGAATGAAAGTTTTACTGGTCCCTGTTTTGCGAGTTCCATCGCTGTCTTACATTTTGAGCGGAGATGTACAACGTTGATGAAGATATTACACGTCTTTTGTTTCTTTCCTAGATTTTACATTTGATTTTTACTACTAATTGTATCAATGCGTTATCTTTAATGTCAAGAATCGAATGTCCAGGAAGGTATAGCCAAGAAAAGTGAGCAAAAATTTAGTGATGAGTGGAGATCTTTAGTGTTGTTTTTTTTGCCATAATTCTTGTAACATTGAAACTTTTGTTAGAAAATAGGATTGACGCAGTGCAGAGAAGATTTAGTGTAAGTTATAACACTAACGCACAATTTAGATAATCATTGCCTTTAAATCACAATTGTATTAGAAAAATGAGGGCAATACAAACACCAGGAACAAAATATTTGACGAGGACAATTGAGGTCGCGCACAAACCCACTCCATTGTCTTTAGGTAGACATAATTTAACTTTCATTCTTAGAACATGATTTGCCCGTGAAGGTTTACCAACTCCACTGTATCTCTTGCTGTCTTTCTAGTACAATTAAAGTAGAGTGAAGTAAACCCACTAAGGCCTGAAATCATACAAAGGATCTGAGTAGTGCATTAGTTAAGATTATTAAAAGAAGGTTGATGTATCAGCTATTTAATTTAATAGTAGTGAAAGCAGCAGTTGCCATTTATTTATTTATTATGCCAACAAGGACTGTGTTTTGGCGTTTAGGGGAACTCAAAAGTAGAAATTTTGGGGATCATCTAATGCCTATCATATTGATGAGATTATAACTGAGGCACTGTTAAATTGCTCTTATCACTGCTTTTCTGGAAAATGTCAGATGAACTTGATTGTTAAATTACTTTCTGCAACTTCTGTTGGATTCATATTTTCTGCTACATGCAAATTGATGTTTCCAAGAATTGATAATGCAAAGACTTGAAAAGGTTTTGGATGAATATTATATATAAGTGGATGACTTTGTTTTAGTGCTTCGTCCTCAATGTGTTAACTAGTTTAGCTTTAGCAGTTTCGTTTTTCCTCTTTTTTTCTCAGCAGTTTCTTGGAATTGGCTTAATACATATCAGTGTGAATTTAGTGTGACTTTTTTGCATCTTCTTTTGAATTGTTATGGTTCAAGTTGTCGCCACAAAGGGTGCTATGGCAGAATTGTGCCATGCTCGAATAGTTATTTGAATGTCTGAAAATTCTATTATATTTCATAAAAAGCACATGCTTTGAACACCTTGGGAAAATCAACTGCTTCCTTGAAATTTCATATTTTGCTTGAGATATTTTCCATGGCTGCATTTGTCTTTTATCATATGCATGTCTACCTCTACAGTTTCTTTGACAATGAAAAGCATGTCTACCTCTGATTTTGATTAATTATTTATCTCTCTGATTTCCATTATGTGGGAGTGGAACAAATTTTGGTAGATGCATCTAAATTTTGATTTGGTGCTTAGTCACATTGAAGAAGATAGAGGTTACTGTTTAAATGGTGGCTGTATTATGGTTTGAAAACTTGTATCTTTCCTAATTAGTTGAATAATAAGTAAGAATTAGTGAGGGAAAGCAACCCATAAGCATTAAAAAATACTGTATTGTCTGGAATCAGAACAACAACCTGATCATTAATTAGTGTATTTAAAGAATCCTAGAAATATAATAATAGAAGCCATCAAGTGCTCAAAGGGTTAAGATCTAGAACAAGTAGAAGAAACCATTTATTTTATTTGGGAAACTTTTTTGACTAAACAAACAAGACTAAATGATTGATGATTATACAGACAAGGCAGGGGAAAAAACAAAGACAAAATCAGATCTCTATTAAGTAGAATCTTTTTCCTCTTGTAGTGAAGATTATGCACTCATTGGGCTGTCTGGATCATTCAGAGCTGCAATGGCAGATTCTATCTTTAATCTCAATACTTCCTTTTCTTCTTCATCAGCCTGAAAGTGTATTGCAAGAATGTTAAACTATTGAATGAGCAGAGTAGCAAATCCAATAATTGTAGCTGACAGATCCCATTAAAATCTTTAGATCAATTATCTTGACAAGAAGCAATATATTAATTAATTAATTAATTAGTCATGAATACAATTATTATAAGAGCTATCTTGAGTGGACCACAGAAATCTATTTATGGGATTTTAAAAACATCAGTCAAGATGAAGTTTTTTCTTAAAATAATAACGATAATATTAATAATAATAGAGCTATCATCCGTGTATGTATAGAAATAAGAAGTCTCAATGATTCCTTTTTTTTTTTTTTTAAGAAGTTGACATGACGACTATTGAAAATATTTCATCTATCATTTTAGAAATAGTAATAATGTATGCAAGACAAATAGATATTGTTTTTGCCTTTTATTTTAAGTAATATCAGCGTATGATTATTGGACAACGTTTCAAGTTATTCTCTGTGCTGATTAAAGAAAAAGTGAAAGGTGAAAGGAACCAATCATATATGTGTATACATGCCCGATGGCAGGCTATATATGGATCATCCCACAAGTGGGAGGAAAATAGGAAAAATAATAATAATAATAATAATAATAATAATTCAAATCTGAACACAAATAAAATACTAGTAATAATGTAATGTTTGTTAGCCCCTTGTACATTAATGCAATTGGCACAGGTGAAATGAAATAAAAATGCAAACCACATGCATATTAAATACCTGTAATAAATTATATGGCTGGTAGTCTAACGTTACTACTGTTTAATGTCCTCAGTTGTCGGCTAACGTTACCACTGTTTAATTTCCATTTTTTTTAATAATAATTCTGTCATCTATCGGCCTTATATTTTATGTATTTTACTGCTTCAACTTCTTGCCCTTTTTACAACAATGATTGTTTGTTCGGTTATGGTAAAAGTTTTTGCTTGTCTCAAGAACAGCAGAGTATGTGTGCCTGTGTGTGTGTGTATGGATGGATGTTAAATGAATGAATTACCTCGAGGAAGACAGTCTTGAGAAGCCTCCCAGAAACAGCAGTGATGTTAGCTGTAATAATCTTGAGGTTGAGAGCCTCGAAGATCTCACAGAGCTTCACCATTGTGTCTGTTCTCTTGCTGCAGGTCAAGCTCACCACCAATGTCTTCTCCCCCATATTCGAAACTCTCAGCTGCAGAAACAATTGAATCCAATCCAATATTCAAATCATATACATGTGACTGTTTGTTTGTTGGTTGTCTGAAAAGAGAAGTAATTGAGAAAGAAACCTCGAGAACTTCAATGGGGGAAAATGGCATCATCCCTGATCTGGAGGCAGCAGCAACAGCAGAAGAAGGATGATAGGAGTTGTAATCCATTCTTGTCCTTTTAGGCTTGGAGGTAAACACAGTGGCTGCCTCCTGCTCGAAGTCGAAGACCCCCCCACCCCCACCCCCACCCCCACCCCCAGTAGTGTTGGAGTTGGAAAGTCCTCGGGCATTAAGCAACTCCAGCTCGGATATCTCTGCCTGGACTCTCCTCTCCTCCTCGTGCAGCGTCTGGATGTACTCTATTGCATCCTTAATTATGGAGGCCTTGTCCATCTGAGGAATTTTAGCGGATGAACGAATGAATGAGGAATCAGGTTAATTGTAAGAGGAGGAGATGAGATGAGATATCGATGGATACCTTGGTGATGTTGGGGACGACAGCTCTGAGGGCATAGAGCCTGTCGTTGAGCTTCTTCCTCCTGTTCCTTTCGGAGACGATGTTTTTGGATGCCGGAGATTGCGTGCCGTCGGGGGAGCTGGAGTCGTAGTAGCCGGAGATGGCGTCTTCGAAGTAGCTGCAGTCGAGCTCCTCTGTCTGGAGGAACATGTTTGTTTCCCAGTAGTTTTGGTATTCATCACTGATGTTGTTGTCCATTTCTGTTACTGTATGTGGCTGTCTCTACTGTACGTGAAGAGAAAAGATTATCGAAGGTAAGGGGAAAGTGCGCCCATTTGAGCGTTGGGCTTTTATTTATACTAAGTGGACAGAGGGAGACGACAGACATGATTGGACAGGACAGGTTTGTTCGTTTCACACGTGGCGGATTCCCATTGGGCCTTCATTCTCCCCTCCTGACCGTCAAATCCCCACTCCACAATTCCGCGTCCACCCTCCCTCGCATCGTATTCTTCACGCCCAATGCCTTTGCCTATATATATATATATATATATATATATATGCATAATGTGTATATATACATATTATGTGTGTAAGGATAAAGAAATATAATTTATTTTTTTTAAAATAAAGGATCCCATGAAATATATGTCTATGCTTTCCCCAGACTTTCCGACAACTATTTAATAATAATAATAATAATAATGTACTAGCATTATTGTTACAAGAAAATGCAAGGTCAGTAGTTTTGTGTGAAAGTAGGACACTACAAAAGATTATCAAATTTGTAACCAAGTTTTTGGGTTTTTAAATTTATTTTGTTCGATTTTTAATTATATTAGAAAAAAAAAAATTAGATATGAAATTACGTTAACTAAGTTAACTTTAAAACGAAATTTCATTACAAATATACTATTTTTTTTAAAAAAAAAATTTTTGCGGAACAAATGTGTGGGAAGTGATTTCCGTTTTAATTTCTTTAGTAAGTAATATACTAATTTGTAGTATTATTACAAAAATGTAACGTCACATTGATTGATGTTTTTTTTTTTTTTTTATTTGTACGATATTGATTGATGTGTTTGTGTTTGCGTTTGCGGGCTGAGGTTTTCACACACGACGAATTTACGAGTTACAGGTTTTTCTGTATGCTGTTTTTTATATTATATTGTTTAAATTAAATATTGAAATTAAAACTTTCTGAATGTCTATAAATCAAGGGTTTGGGCCTGCGTGTTGACTCAACACGACATCGTTTCAAGACTTCAAGTGTTTCCCCGCGTGAATCTTTTATGTTTGAATTAAGTTTAGAAATATATATATACTTTTTTATTTAAATAATACTCTCTTTTTTTTATTATTATTTAAACACGTTCTTGAAAATACGAGATTTTCAAAGTGTCGGAAACTAATGAACACGCCCGTGGGTCTGCGAAACTTGCATATGCATATGCCATAAATGGGGACAGGCAGGACTCGAACTCGAGACCTAGCCTAGGCTCTGATACCATGTCGGAAACTAATGACCGTCTCACCTAAAAGCTCGAACTTGTTAGGGAGACTAAGCCATTAGTTAGATATCCCGCAAACGGGAGTCCTCAACACAAAGGTATGTATTTAATCGGAAGAAAATTTGGTAAAGTATTTAATTTTTGAAGTGTGACGTCATCACGTAATATATTTAGTCATACGAATTGTATAGATGATGACACTGACACGCTCAAGCATGTGCATTTAACATTTTAGTGGCTGAATGTATGCGGAATTAATTATGTATTCAGAATTTCAAAAGTGGCAATGATTAAAGTGCAATTTGAGGATGAATTTAACTACAAAAACAAAACAAAATGTGTTATTTATGTAATCCATTTAAGTAGTGACATAATGGACTAAACAAAATGTGTTATTTATGTAATCCATTTAAGTAGTGACATAATGGACTATGTTTTTTTAGTTATTTATTTATTATTATTATTACAAATTTTTTATAAAAATATACGGCCTCCGTCCCAAACAAGGTGCAATATTTACTTTTGACACGGGTTTTTAGGTGGGTAGTATTAAGTAGGATAATTTAGAAATTGGATGATGTGATGGAGAGAGAAATATATATTTTATTTTTTTATTTGGATGATGTGAGGGGATAAAGTGTGGGGTAGAGATTAAGTATAATTAATTATTTCTTATTTTGGAAATGTTGCATGGTGTTTGTGACATACCAAAAAGAAAATGTTGCAGGGTGTTTGGGACGGAAGGAGTAGTATTTTTTTTATATAAAATATAATATCTAAATTGTTTTCTAAATAAAAAAAATCAAAATTAAAATTTCAAATCAAATTGTAAAACACCTTTGTTGCCATGCCAACTCAAAGCAATTAAACCCTATTTGTCTACTACTTTAATATCCATGATTCACTATTTTTAGTAAAAATGTGGTTGTGTTTTTTTGTGAGGGGTTTTGGTCATGACTTATGAGTTTAAGTTTTAATAATAAATTTTTGAATTAAAATAATTGTTTAATGTTATATATATATATATTAACATTGTATAAATTAAATTCTAAAATAATATAATAAATAAAAATTAAATATTTGATTTATACTTTTTTTGAAGTGACGTTTTTTAAATATTAAAACTCAACTCAAAACTACACAAACAAACAGACACGAAGTATTTGATCATCAGTGTTTTTTGTGATGATGCAAGAAAGATGACGTCATGTAACAATAAATTCCACTAAATTTGGTGATTGAATTATACCTTTACTGCAATAAAGCGTGGAGCTTTAAAATAAAATTTATTTTAAATAAAATCACGATAAGATGGCCACTTCAATTCATTCATAATATCTTCAATGTCCCGGTTAATTAGTTTAACTAACTGTAATGGAATTGAGACTATTGTGTATTGTCTAATGTTCTATTCCCTCCGTCTCATATCCATATGTCTGCTTGTTGCATAGAGTTTTAAAAATATTAATATTATATTGAGATAAAGTAAAAATAAAGGTAAAAAACATTAAATTAATCCAATCAGTACTGTATGATATAAAGGTAATGACATTCGTATAATATATTATAAATTAAAAGGATATCTGTAATATTAAATAGATAGTACAATTACTTAAAAAAAAAATAAATACTTTGTTATGAGACGGACCAAACTGAAAAAATAAATAAATTGTTAAGGGACGGAGGGAGTACTTCTAGGTCTGTTCTATTTGATTTTTTAAATTGTTTTATTATGTAGTATATATATATATATATATACTTTATAATAATACAATACTTTCCTTTTATATGTTCCACCGATGATCCAATATAAAAACACAAAATTAAATACAAACTAAGTACATCTTAAATTTTTCTAATTTTATTCATTTTATTTGGTCATTGAAATTTGTAATAATTAATGGTAATAAGCAATTAACTAATTAAGCATACACTACAAAAAAATAATATATTTGTAACGGAATTCCGTCCGTTCACGTAGCCAACGTAATTCCATTCCTAATTCCATCTCTAATGTCATTAGTAACGGAAAAAATAGATTTAGAGACAAAAAAAAGTTTTGTTACAAAAATGATTTTTTTGGAAGTGATATAACATATAAGTAAAAAATAATACGGCATTCATCCTGCAAATTTTTAAATTTTTTAAATTTTTTCGCTAGTTTTAAGTCTTATATAATGATGATAAATTTTTACTTTTTATTTGTTATGTTTTTATATAAAATAAAATAAAATTTAAGGTGTATGTAAATTTTGGGATGTGTTTAGTTGATGATTTTTTTTTTTTTTTTTTATAATAGTTTTGATATACTATTATGTGATAGTAAGTAAATATTGTATTTTAATAACAAATTAAAATAATACTAGATACTTATATTAAAAAATATTTTTAAAATAAAAAAGTATATAAATATATTAAATTAAAATTAATAGTAAAAGATATTAAACAAAAAGGTACTAGTAATAAATAATACGGCCCACGTCTTGCATAGTTTACTTGGTAATTTGATGGTGCATGTGACACGCATTGTCGTCCATTTAAACCTTCAAACTCATGCAACATTTCTTTAAATAAAATGGAAATTTCACACAAAAGTTACCCTTCATAATAATAATAATAATAATAATAAAGAAAAATCAATTCAAGATTCAGAATTAATTAATTAGATCCATATAATAATACTCTTTCCGTCACATATCTATATATCTATATGATACAAAAACAATGATATTTTTATAGTAGATTGTAAATTGGAAGGATATCTGTAATGTTAGGCATATAGTACAATTATTATAAAAAAAAATAATAATAAATATTTTATTATGGGACGGACTAAAATGAAAAAATTGATAAGTTGTTATGGAATGGAGGGAGTAATTAAAACATGAAGACACTGGAGAATTAATGTGTTTTGAAATAATTTAATATTGTCGGTAGTACCAAAAAAAAAAAAAGTGAGGGGAAATATTTTCTTATTAATGCAAGTAGATATTTTATACAATACGTTAAATAAAATTTGAACATATTATTTTCCAAAAAAGAATATATATATATATATATATATATTTAATAGCATTACACGACCAAAAAACAACCAAAAACTTATCCACAATCCTTCTTTTCGTTCCATCAATAAGCCTGTGTGACGTCATCTCGTGACGCATCATATGCATACACAGGTCACAAAATTAAATGTACATCGTGCAGTCAAAAGAGAATTGCTGACTCGGATTCCTCACTCAATTGATTGAGTATTGAATTTAAGAAAATAAAAATAAAAATGGAACTCAAAGATATATATATATATATAAAAGTCTTTAATTTAATATAACTATTTATATTGTCTATATTTAATAATGTATATTTTTTTAAAAAAAAGTCAATATATAATCTTGGCCATCATGACTGCCAATATTTATTTCAAGCAATTCGAATTATCTACAACCGTATACAAAATGATGTAAATCGAAAAAATATATATATATATTCGTAATTATTTCTAGTATTTATTACGTATAAATATATGCATGTACTTATAATTTCAATTAAAAAAATGGAATTAATTTGCAATTAATATGTGATATATATATATATATATATATGTCTCCATCGTATATTAGCGGCAGGACTTGAGTCTCCCCGTCCACACTAAATTATTATCCCCTCTTGGCTTTTTGACTAAATATATATATATATATATAATATTATTTAATATTTCAAATTTAATTTCATTCTTTACTTATACGAATATTATGGTACAAGTATTAATTGTTTTTTATTGGTTTTAATTAATTGAATATACTATAAATTTATTAGCTGTAAATTGAATTCTCCTATATCATAAATGCAACCATTTTGTTGTGTGGTATA